GTGATATGAGACAACCAGCATGGCTTCACCAAGAGCCAGTCCTGCCTGGTCAACTCAGTGGCCCTTTGTGATGGTGTAACTGCAAGAGCAGACAAAGGAAGAGCCACTGCTGCTATCTCTCTGGACTTCAGTAGGGCCTTCCACACAGTACCACACAACATCCTCCTCTCCAAATTGGAAAGATAAGGATTTGGTGTGTGAGTGTTTGACAGACAAAGAACTGGCGGCAGGATCCAATCCAGGTAGTGGTGTAAATGGCTCAATGTTCAGATGGAGATCAGAGATGTCCATCTCTGTGAGCAGTGTCCCGTTAGGGGTCAGTAGTTGGACTGATGTTTTTGTGATAGGACAAAAAGTGTCTAAAAAGTGAGAAAAAGATAGGACTGGGAAGTGAACTAAAATGAAAAGAAAAAAGAAGTATATGAAAAAAAGCAAAGGAAAACTCAAAGGAGAGATTCACGCCTTGGTCTGACAGTACTTCAACCCAGCAGAGATGATGGTCAGGATGATGCTCTGCTGGAGTCCAGCTTCGTGGGCAGCTCTTGCAGACTGACCATAGTTATATTACTGCTACTCTCCAACTTGAGCTGTGGCCACACATTTTGCTACAGTTCAGACACATTTTTAGAGAAATCAAGAAAAATTTAAAAATCTGGACCCTATCTAGATATTTACATCGAGGCAGAGTCACAGCGCCATGACCACAGTGACAAGAGGATGATGCCACTACAGACTGTAAGCAAGAAGCAAGCCTAACAGATAGAAGTCAGAGAAATGCCTTAGATTTACATTTTCATTTATCCCAAGCATGAACAGGCAATCAAACATTGACTAAGAACCAGGGAGATGGAGAAAATAATAGTTTATGCAGAAGAACATACACTAGGTTTGTGACACATCAAAAAGGTACTGAATATCTAATAGTCCCACTTGAAATATCTGTAGGTAGAAAAGAAGTTTGGTGGAGTATTATGAAATTAACACACATTGTGAAAGCACTTTTTCTGTCTTGATACTTCGACATTTTTAATGTATATAATCAAAATTTGACTTTCCTCTTCAATTTTAATATTGAACACTAGATAAGAATAGCTTCCTTTTGATGTTAAGGATAACCATACAAGATACACGTGTCCCAAGGTCCTGAAGGGACTGGCTGATGTGGTGGCCAGGATGTTCTCCATCAGCATTTAAAAAGTCATGGCTGTCAGGTAAAGCTCCCAATGGCTGGAAAAAAGGTTACTCCCATTTATAAGAAAGGGAGAAAAGAAGACCGAGGGAACTACAGGCTGACCTGTCAGTGCCTGGGAAGATCATGGAGCTGATCCTCCTGGGAGAGATATTAAGGCACATGAGGGATGAGCAGGTGATCCAAGACAGCCAGCATGGGTTCACCAGGGGCAGATCATGTCTGACCCATCTGGTGGTCCTCTGTGAAATGACAAGACTCAGTAGTTACAGGAAGATCAACAGATGGCATCTACCTGGACTTCTGCAAGGCCTTTTACATGGTCCCATACCGTACTATCATCTCTAAATTGGAGAGAGATGAGTTTGAAGGGTGGACTATTCAGAGGATAAAGAATTGGTTGGATGGTTGCAGCCAGAGGGTTGTGGTCAGCAGCTCTATGTCTAGGTGAGAGTGGTGACAAATAGTGTTCCCCAGTGACTATGAAGTGTTCCTATAAATGAAATTGTTGGCACAAAAAAAAAAATGGTGAATAAACCTGAGTCTATGCAAGTCAAAGATGTACTAAATAGGTCACCAGATTCCTTCTTCAAGTACACCAATGCTGAATGACATCATGCAGACCGAAGAACACACTTCTACGAAAGTCATTAGTGTTCAGGAATGTTTGTCTAGTTCCAACAGAAGAGTTCAGACAGGAGAAGAAAAGTAGCTACTGATGACTACACACTGAATTATGCAATTCATATTAATTCTCCTGCAGTACATTTGTGGGCCAGATGGGTTGTGAAGATCAACCAGGTCAAGATGAATAGCCTTTCATTCACTTCTTCCAGGTACAGCATTGTACCCATTACAATTGTAATCATCTGAACAGCACACGGTAAGTCAGCTAGAATCTACCACTGCAGTAGCTCCTAAGTACTTCACGATGTGCTGCAGTGTGGCTGTTTTTTCAGATAGTGAAGTGTTTCAAATGAAACCATTTAATTTGGCTAATTTTTAGTAGTCTTAAGCAGTACTCATATTTTTGTTTTACCACAGTATTTGTTTGGCACTGTAACACAAGTTTTATCTTACAAGATAAAAAATTTGCTTGCCCACAAGCAGTTCTCTCAACTGAATAAACTGAGGAGAGAATTTTAAACTGGCAATACAATTTTTGAAGCTCACACAAATGTACCTTCCGAACCAAGAAGTTCACACCAAGAAAATTACTTTTTGAATCATAATAAGAAGTTCTATTCTATACTGCTGTGCATATTGATGCGATTTATGCGTTCACAGCACACGAACAGCACACCAGATCCAGCAGCACAACTGCTTTGCACACCTGCTAAAAGACTACCTAATGGAAGATACAAAACAAAGTTGACTCAAAGCCAAAGCCACTACATAGAAGAATGCCCTTTATTAACAAAAGCTAAGATTTCGCTTTCCCTCTCAATCCAAAAACATAACTGTTTGTTTATCTACTGGAAGCTGACATTATTGATAATGTAATTCTAATCAAGGTCTTTTACGTACAAGATGAAGAAATGTTCTTGCAGCATACTGATAGCTTACGTGCAGTAGAGTCAAAGGGAAGTAACTGGTGTGAGCACCTTGTCTGTGTGGTTTCAGGGTTAAGGAGGCTCGTGACAGAAAAAGAAGCAGTCTACAGTAGATGAGAAGCAGGAGAAGGTTAACTGTGGGAAAGGGTAAACTTCTGCTCGTGTTCTGTATACTCTGCTGATCACAAGAAAGGAAGGGGAGGCTGTAAATACAGTGCTTAAACAAGAGTGCTCATCTGCTGCAGTGCAAGTGGCTACAAAATACACAGAACGTAATACAAGGAGGCAGATGACTGTGGTGTCAAGTCATGTAATTCCAAATTAACAGGCACAGTAATTATCTTAAGCCTCCAAGTTTCACATGAAAAATGAAGGTTCCTAAAAACCAGGCTCCTATCTCTTTCCATCCCAAGTTTTTTTGAGCATTATGCATTTTAAGCATTAGAAAAAAGCCAATCTTCAATTCTTCCATTCCTTTCAACATTTATCCAGTAAAATCATAAAAGATTACAAAAATATACAAAAAAATAAACCATACAGACTTCTGAAGTTTTTCACAGCTGCCCACTGCTCAGAACTTACTCCAGATTCATAACCAACCAGTGTTTGTGTTGCTGTTTTCAAATCTGTACGGCACTCCACACACATACTTAATGCTAAATAAACCAAATACAGAGGGCTTAACTCAGAGATGCTTCCAATGGACAAATGTGCCATTTACTTTACCAGTCCTACTGCATCCAAATTCCACATACTGTCCAGCACCATATGCAACAAACAAACAGACAAAAACGTTAACTGTGTGCACACAGACACAAAAAATATCCCAACTTTCTAACTGGATGCAGCACTTTTTTTCCTGGAAAGGTCATTAGAAGGCTCTTTATAAAAGCTGTTTCGCCTAAAGCTTTGTATGAAGACACTTGATTCACCAGAGGATAAGATGGCACTTCAGTTGCTCACAAAAGGAACAACGTAAGTGTAGGAGTGTGCCAAGGGAGCTGTTAAGGGAATGGTTCAAGAAAAGGGAAGGGGGTGGAAGTGTGGGAAGAGACAAGAACAGGTGTAGGCAGAGACCTCAGGATTTTGCACTGAGAAATGCAGACTAATTTATAATTGAGCAACGCAAATTTTATACACAAGAAGTAGAACTTGTGGGGATATGATATCAGGGGAGCTATGGAGGAAGGTAAGAGTGGAGACAATCTGGATGGACTTTATAAGCTCAGCAAGTGAAAAGAAAAGAAAGCTCTTTTGCCTGTAGCAGCATTAAGGCAGAAGGATACTGGAGCATGACGACAGTGGCCGTGAGATCAGAACAAGTAGAGAAACACAGAGAAAACTGCTCTCCAGCCACAAGCTGAAGTACAAGCCACATACAGAGAACTAGTTCAGAAAGCATTTTAAAAGCAATTTTCTCCAGCAATTGAAAAGAAAGAACATACCTGCTGGGACTTTCACAATAAAAAACATGTCATAGGGAACAATTTAATTTCTCTTCACTGCTTAAATAAACAGCAAACCAAGCAACTGTTCTTTCACACGTTCGCATCAGGGGCATAAGCCTAACATTGCACTGTCTGCCCCAACCATATCGACTGGAAATCAGAAAGAAGACAGTGTTCCAGTGAAGGCATGGGGCTGTGTGTAACCTCACTTGACACAGACATGGTGGTACACAGGATACACTGCACTGCAAAGATGTGCTCTCTTACTGCCTCCAAGAGGAGATCCATGAGCACTGCCACAGACTGAAATGTTTTCTGGCAGAGCACACGCAGCACGAACTTCAGTATTCCCTAGAGATGCTTCCAGTGACTGATTTCACAAAAGATCAAAATAAATAGCATGTGTTCTAACAGCAACTGAATTGTAAAGTGTTATTTACATTTATCAAATTAAAGAAAAGTAATGTGCACTGCTGTAATATATATTATTACTGTTAGCAGTACATTTAGTTTTATTCTTATTGTATGATAAAGAAAATCCTTTAGGAAGATCTTTTGCATGTAATACACACAGCAAAAAAAAACACACATGTGGCATGAAGAAGACCAAAACAACAGCACAAAGTGTAACAAACATGAACAGCCATTTTCTTGACTAAAAAAAAGAAAAAGTGCCATTAAGTTCCCTAAGTATACTACGTAACACTGAAACTTGTCAGAAAAGGAACAGGTTATGGGTGCATTAGTAGAAGGGGTCACCCATAGGACAGCACTTCCTAAGGGTTGATGAACTGCATGCAGAAGACTCACTTGCCACCCCAGATGCAATCCCATACAGCAGTCCTCCTCCATCTGTTTGCTGCTGAAAGACATGTGTCCCTGGAGGAGGGCTTCTTTCTTGTCTAATGAAGTTGTAGAGCAAAGTTTTCACGAGTCTGCTGGTATATGGGAGGCTGCAAAGACAAAAAAAAAAACAACAAAGGCTGACCTACAAGGAGCAAGATTTAGCTCAGCTAGAGTCAATACTACATATTTTTGTTTGCTGGAACTAGGCTTAGCTTAGATCTCAGATCTTTTCAGAATCTTTTTAATCACTTCCTACATCTGCAGAATAGCAGATACTTGTTATCTGCACAGCAAAGACCAGGTGGCCTGCAAAGCAGTCCTGAGCACTGTGCCACTGTACAAACTAAAAGGGAGAGCACACAAATGTTTGCCCTTGCAGAGCTGCACTCAATTCCACAGGGCTCTGCAGAAGCACCTTCAACAGCAGTCACAAACATGCTTTGTTCTGAATACTGCCTATAAATCGGTCTGTGCAACTGTTGTATTATTTCACGCCAAGAAACAAGTAGAAAAATATTTATGCTAGGGAGAGAAAGAATATACTGTTTGGTTTTTTCTCTATGCTTCGGAGAAATAGAGCAGGTAAGAAAAGTATTCCTCCAACTCGTGGTGTATGGCTGTGTATGGCTGGGGTCAATGTGCAAGGACCAATGCAACATCCGACCTCACACAGTGATTCTGACAAATGCACATGCAATTTGTTGGATGTAAACAGGACGTAGCAGCTTTTCTAAGAAACAAAGAAAAGGATTTCCAAGGAAAGAAACAGTTCTTCAATTCTTCCTCCCACGTGATGCAGAGGTATACAGACTGCACTATGGTCATCTCCAGCCCCTTTACCCAGTGCCCTCAGACCCTTCATTGTCATATATGCCCAGCCACTAAACCCTCCACTCATCTCCACTGGCCAGCTACCTGCTACTCCCAGCTTAAACCAGAACATTCTGCCCTACTCCCAGATATTCCCCTCATCCTCTTTCCTTTCCTCACATATCTCACAGGAGGCACTACCCCCCGCTTCTAGCAGGAACTGCAGAAACAGATAGTAATTACCTTTACCAAACAGCTGCCTGTATGCAATTTAAAGGTGAAAGAGGAGAAATGGCAGACTGTTTCTGATTGAAAAGCATAGACGCTGCTTATAGGGAGAACAAATTACTACCAAGCCTGTTTCACTGCCTTTGTGTAGAAGCACAAACGGTTTAAACAAGCTCCATTTCATGGAGTTGCCATTTTATCTAGCTCCAAAACATGACATACCATCGCCCACGCATCAGGTATTTGTGAATGAGGCTCTCCCGCAGAATTTCCTTGTGGAAGAGCTGGCAGGAAAGGAAGACAATGAGCGTTGTCACAGCCTCCAAGGAAATGCTGTAGGTGATATCTCTGCAGGAAAAAGGGAAAATGCATAAGGATTAATTTAATGGCTTTGTTTACAAACTGACTCATAAGAACATTTAGTAGCTTCATCTGAGGTTATGCACTTTACAGAAAGTTTCAACTGAGAGCAACCAAACAACAACTTATAAAAACCCCTCTTAGTAGAAAACAGTATCATTGCACACAGACAATGCATTATTTGTCACTGCCACAAGCATTTCGTGCTATGTCACGGGACAATGTAAAAACACTACAGTATTGCCTACAACATTCCACCTTCGATTTTCAGACTATACTTCACCTCAAAAATAATAAATACATCTCAAACACATGCATTTTGTCTTGTTAAACAAAACTGTCACAAAAGCAACGTTCTAAGCCTGGGAAACAGCCAACAAGCCAAACACAACTCCATATGCCAGAAAGAATGGACTGCTACGGAAGAGTTGTCACATACAAATAAATGCTACCTTAACTGTAAGAAGTGCTTGGGATATCACAATGCCACAGAGAGCTGCTCCATTTTCAGTAGTAATTGTGAGGTGACAAAGTATGACATTTAAAGTTATTACTGCCAATCCAAAAGAATACAGTATAATGATTCAATGGTGACTGCAGACGGTTTAGCAAAACTCATTAAGTCGAGGTTATTTAGGCAAGGTGCAGCAAAATGAATGAGAAAGTCAAGTTATTTTGGAGATTCTTTGGTTTCTGTTTTCAACTCTGTCTATAACAACTTTGTTACAGAGCATAGCTTTAAAACAAAATGAAATATTGGTATGAAGGAGCCCCACTCTTGCTTTCAACCCTTCTGTGTCAGTTGTGGGTCAAAGTTTGAAGAAAGGGATGAGGAAGGTGAGTGTTACCTGCTCAATATCAACAGCAAACGGGAATGGCTACTTCCTGGACCAAAGTCCTGCACACTCCAGAGCCACACCACTTCCAATACAAAGAAGTGTTTAAAAGAAAAAGTGATGCCGATTGCTGCTTTTGTTGGAATCTGTAATACTTATGTCAGGGAGAGACTTACTGCCTAATGAACACTCTTCCTTGAAATCACACAGTGTGTTTCAGTTACCCGCAGGGAGCTGGACAGTGCTGAGCATCAGAGCAGGCTGAGGTTGCTGTGAGCTGGTGCCATGCAGACCCACCTGTGCCAGCAGCAAGGCTGAGCTAGAGATGGCCCACAGCCCCTCACCAACAACCTGTGCTCTGCAGTTGACCACCCACATCAATCCCAAGCAGCATGGGGAAGAGCTAGGTAGAATATTAGAAGTTTATCTGCCAGACAATATTTATTTTTTTTTCCTAATAAAATAAATACAAGAGCTTAGAAGAAACACTTCCTCGCTATAAAAAAAGACAAAAGCTTATTTCCAAGGCTGAGAATACCAGAATGTCTCCAAGTCTGAGTTGAGGCTGACACGATGCATGAGAAGGACAACTGTGACATGCTGCAACACCCAAAGTGCCTGGGTAAAATCGTACAGAGCCTACTGGGCTGTCTCTGCATCTCAGTCATTTCTTTGCTTGTTTTTCTGACCCACCATACAACTGGAAACACAAATCTGAGACATTACAAAATTGTTCTCTATTTTCATAAAATTCAGTTCAAGGTAAAAAAAACAAAGAAGTTAATGTATAAGTAATTTTTGAACATAATCTGCTTACATAATCTTCCTTATATAACTGAAAAAGCAAAATAAGGCTAAATTCACACAGCTCAAGCCCTTCTCTTCCTATTCAGAATTCAATTAAGGCCTGTTCGAGTGCAGATACTTTTTACTCAACCTATAGAACCTCTTCAAATTAAATCTTCTCTCTCAATCTCAACTGGGGGCCTAATATCCATGGTAACCCCTAAGCCACACACATCCTTAATTACCAGCAGCACAATGATAAGGCTTCAGAACTAAATTATTTTTCCCACCCAGGGTCAAGTGTACAGTTTTTTGAATCCCAAGCACTTGCAAAGGGGCACAAGAACTACTGGGAACATCTCAATTTCAAAGAAAATGCTGTTTAATTGTACAGACAGACTACACAACTTTGGGGTGGATCGATTTTTTTTTCATCATTATTAAAGCTATCACGAATACAGAACGACCTTACATAGAATTTATACTTATCTTTGACTTCCTCTTAAAGCTGTTTGCTTGCAGATGAGGAGGAAATGAGAAATAATGAACTCAAGTATCAATTACACGCCAGAATTACTTAGCTCTTCATGTCAGAAAAGCAGAGGAACTTCATGTTTAATTTCCGCCGTTCTTTTTCTTTCCCAATGCCTCACACACCTCAGACAAAGCTCATGCCTAAAGCACATGAGCTTCAGGCAGCAGTGCACCAAACCACACCGAAGTCTTTATCTCCCCACTACAAGCAGCTGCTCTCCCGGTTCCATATTCCCTGTCTTTTAACCACATTGAATCCCTCCATGTCCTCGCACGTCATGTCCAACCTCAAGCAGACTTCTGGGGACCAATTTTGTTTTACAGTTTAAAGGTGTGTGTCTAAAGACACGTCGTATAGCTTCAGATAATTACAGCTATATAAATTCTTCAGAAAATTATGGACTTGAGTGAAAAAAAAGACAAGAGCTTTAGACGAGTGGCAATTTTATGTATTTACTGAGCACACTGCTTAGTAAAGCCACTTACCTATGAGAAAATGAGTCAATATGTCACAGGTGTTAGCTAATTGTGTACTACAAAGTATTAATATACACATTTTCATAAGTACACTCTTCCTTCCAATAAGCACTGCCACCTAATCATTTCAAGTTTAACGAATGATTTAATTTAAACAACTGCACACAATTTCTAGTGTAGCAATGTTTAGACAACAATTAAATAAATCAAATGGCAAAAGATTCTAAGAGGTCAGCTATGCTTTCCATCTAATCCTTCTGCCAAGCAGACAGCAGAGATGCTGGGCTCCCCTTGAAGAGCACTGCTTTAAAGAAGCACTGCATTTAGACTTGGAAAGAATTGATTCTTATGAATATTTCTAAAGCAGAAGCTGATTCTTCTGGGATGAAAACTGGAAGGAATAACACTTCTCTTCTGATCATCCATCAAGGACGTGCACCTTTATTTCCTGGGCCACAGATCAGCCACCAGAAATAACTTTTTTTTTCCTTTTACATTATCAAGCACCTCCATCTACCTGCTTCTGCAGCAGAGACACAGGATCAGTAACGCTGCTCCCTGTGCTTTAACCACTACACGTGGTAGCAGGGGACATGTACTAGCCCCAGGCTTTCTCGTTCTGCTTGAAACCTCAGGCATTTTCTTTTTCCTCTACCCTGCCAGATCAGAGAGGGCTGCCAGAAACCACTTCTGTGAGCTCTGATAAAAGCCTGTCATTTTCCCCTGCCTTTTTTTCCTCCTTTCAAACTCTCCATGTTCCCTCCCATCTCTCTAGCCACTGTTTCATTCACATTTTGGAGGAGATCTGAGAGATGAGATCAGCTATGGTGGCAGCTGTGAAGCACAACAGACCATTCAGCCACACATCACTCCCTCACAAGGTTTCCTCTGTATGGAGATTTCACCTTGTACTTCTGCAGTTCTTACAGGCAGTTATTTCAAATACGCCACAAAACCAAAACTGCATTTTCAAGTTCCAAATGCGCAAAAACAGTGTTCCACAGTCAAAACAGCAATTGTTAACAAGAATAAAAGATGATGTTTATGATAGAAACAGGAAAAGAGCACACAAAAGCAGACAGTAATCTGTCTGAGCAGTAACTTGAACACTTGCCATAATCTGCGTGCACCCAGAGCCCAGTGCTCACAGTGCATGGTACCATGCAGCAGACAGCTACCCTGCCACATCAACAGGCTTCATGGTGGAAAGAAAGTGCTGAAGTAGACCAAAGGGTGAAGGCCATAATACAGAAGCCCATCAAAAAATATAACACCCAAAACACTTATCTGCTTCTGCAGAATGAAGAAAAAGCAAGCAAGATCAGAGGATGATGCCACCAGTACCTTATTCGTTAAGGTGAGTGGCATTTAATTCGGTTGATGGTTGGATGGTCTTGCAGGTATTTTCCAATCTTGGTGATTCTGTGATTCTGGATCTGTTTGCGTATGATAAAATTGTCCTCGACAGAACAAGAGCTATGGTCCTAGCCAAACAAGTCCCCACTGTCCTGGCATTTACTTTCTTCCATTTAAACCAATAAGGGGATGCAAACAACCTCCACCCAGTGCTACCTACCCACAAATCTACCTACATTTCACTACCCTGCTGCTGTTAGCTTCTTTCCAATGCCAAGCAGTGCTCACCACTGCTTGCTGTGCTCACATCATTCCATTCTGTTCCCTGCCTGGAGACACGTCTGTGGAAGAGGAACTAAAATTAAGCATAGAGGTAATGTTCAGGGAAATCTCTGCTAGCAATGAAACAAATTAACACCTCAATTAAATGCAACTGTTCCTACACCTTAGCAAACAGAGGCTGAGAGGCTAAAAGTGATTACATGCCTACAGAACAGGTTGAGCACCCACAAACAAACTCCTGAAATTCATCTCACACCACGGCACCAAACTCTCTCCTTGCTTAAATATTTCCCTGAACTTGTCCCCAGCCAGAGCTGCCTACAACAAGCATTAAAAAGTTAAGAGGGAACTTGTTCTCTAGTTCAGGACTGGTGCCAGCAAGGCTGATTCATACAAAATCTCTCCAATCATACAGGAACCAGGTTTCATTTCCCTGCTTCCTGACGGCCCACCAGAAAAGTGAAAGAGGAGTCACCAAGAGAATAGAAGAGGGGCTGGGAGCTGAGAAGCCACTGGAGGATCTGGTTATCAGCCTGAGGATACATGTACAACAACTGCAAGTGGACCTAATCTTTCCTCCCGGATTCACTCCTAACTTTACACTCATGATGGCAAACATGCACTGCAGCAGCTAACGGTGTTCATCATAGTTAAATTACTCTTGAGAAAGCAAAGAGCACCTGTGACATTTCCTACTACATCTCCCTCCACCAGCAAGTATTCTTGGCCAGGAGACAGTCTAGTGATTGAGAGAACAAGCTAAGAAGGTGGACATACTCTAAAGGGATGTAATGGACAAACAATAGTGGCATCCGAGACATTTTACTCCAAAATCTATATCTAAACCATCTGAGACCATGCAACCATGTGCATCTTCACCCCACTGGCATTCTGTTCTTTCCTCTACAAACATAATATTGTAAATCTGGGAGTTTTAAGTGTTATACAAACAGCTATATGCCTCTGTGTTTATTTTTTCGTATCAGCAGGACTTGTAAGTACTGGGTATGCTGTGGATAGGTTGGCAGTTGGACTTGATTAATTTTTCCAACCTTAATGACTCTATGTTCTAAATCTCAGAGAAAGACCTCACCTTTGAGCAACAGAACACAAGATAACAATTTAAATACTTGTAAAAACGTACGGCTCTAATGACTTCTCCTAAGTAGCTGACAACTCCAACTCCAAGGGAAAAGGCAGCTGCAGAGATGACTGTCAGACAACAAACCGTATCACGTTCCAGTGCGTAGCCTGCAGGAAAGGCTGACCTGCTCCATCAAGGAGAAAGGGCTTTGTAACATGGCTTCTTCTTAGTCTTGCTCCCTTAGTTGGAATAAGTGGCTGGAGCAGATGATCTGATGGTTGGACTCGATCTTATTTTCCAACCTTAATGATCACATGATTAACAATTGTACGAAACGTCAGACATTTGCATCAAGGCAGAGCCATCTTAATGAAGGGACACTTGGTGGCAACAATAATCTCTTCTGGTCTAATGAATGGCCAGATCACGGAGGAAAAAGGCTTCAACCAGGTAGCAGTCAGTGATGTGAAACCACCAAGGCACCAAAAAGACACGTACTGACTCCAGAGCCTTGGTGCCTTTGGTACCCAGCCTAAAGACCAAACCAAAATACTAGCAAGTGGGTGTCTTTCAAGATGCTACATCCAATAGCTTTTGTTAGAACACAGCTGAAAACCACAGAGAAAGAATATGACCTGGAACTCGATTATACTGCATGGTGTGTAACAAACAGCACCAATCTGCTCTGTGAACAGTGAGGCTGGCACACATCAATGGGCACTAAAGCAGGCCTAGAGAAGGGAAGGTCATAAGAAGGAACACTGATCTAATGTAGAAACTAAATTAGGATAATATTAGAACAAAGAATGTGACACTGAGATTCTTCCACGTAGGACCTTCAAATATGTAAAAGGCCACAGATTTGCAGTGAGAAAAAATGATCTAAAGATGATGAAAATTCTTCAAAATACTTCCAAAATTTACTAGATGTCCACTGATTCAGGGCATTTCTACTCAGCCTTGCTGATGAGAAGAGCCTTGCAGCAGACGGTGCTGCACGTCACAGAGGACAGCACACATTAAACCAAACCTGTTACTGGTTTGAAAACAAAGAAAATATTGAAATATGATCTACAATCACATAGTGCTTAACCACTCTGCTGCTTACAATCAGCAAGCAAAAAAAGCCCCAGAAATTCTCACTATCTGTAAATGGCACTGGCTGTTTGCATTCCACGTCACAATCAATTCTACCCCCACTCTTCCTCCTAAAATTGATTCTTAAGCTCCCAGAAAACACAAAAACATCCTCATACGAGTCACACACTGTTAACATTTAAGTGTGGAAGTAATTAAGATTGCAGCCTAAAACAATTTTAACCATAAAAAAATAGTGGAATGTAATAGAAATATCAACTCCCTTCCACTGGCACCACAGGGTGCTACTTAGCAGTGATGTAACCAGATCACAGTATTTCATTTTCCTTCCACACGCATTTATAGCTCTTAATGAAGTGAAAATGTACTGATAACAACCAGATGTTCCGTTACACAGACCAGCCCTTAACAAGCTGCTGAAAGCAGCCTTTATAATTTTAAGCTTTGGGAGCTCTATCTCACAATAGTTTCTACATAAAACTTGCAAGGTTAAACCTGGAAGTTCTACCTTTTGCTGACTATGCAATTTTGGTCACTAATGTACACCCCTGGGTGCTAATGTTAGCGAGACCAAAGAAAAAACAGAGTACCCATAAGACACCCAAGTGAGCCAAAAACCAGCCATCAACATACTGTAACACAAGTGTAAGAAGAGACTGCACAAGTCTAATTCATGAAATGCAATAACTGTCATTTCTATAAAATGTCTTACATTTAAATGTTGATACACAAAACCTTCCCTGCTGGCATTCTGTACAATGCAGCAGAGCCTATTTTTCATGAGGGTTATACAAGATTCTCTCAATAATTCTCAGATATTGGGCCACAATGATGCAAAGCCCCACGGTCTCTGATACAATTTGCATTAGCTGCACTGAGTGCAGCTGCCAGGAAGGATATTTACCTCTCTAAACAAAGCCAACATTGAAAAACAGCTTCTTCCATTCCTTGTTAACAGTGTCGATATGCTTTGCTATACAGCTCTGGAGCCTTGCCCAGCAAAAATCAGCACTTTTTTTTCTTACTTCAGTAACTTTCCAAATATTTCCTTCAGTTATATACAGGCTGGATATGAGAAACAATTTATTTTCAGAGTGGTGATGCAGTGACATAGGCTGCACAGGGAGGTGGGGGAGTCCCCATCCCTGGAGGTGTTCCTCAACTGTGGAGACGTGGCACTGGGGGACATGGCCAGTGTGCATGGTGGGGTGGGCTGTGGCTGGGGATCTCAGAGGTCTGCTCCAGCCTCAATGATTCTATTGCTCTAAGTGCACTGACTTCTCCCACCAAAAGGCACTTGATATGATAATATAGAACAATTTCAAAAGCGAAGCTTCCAGGACTGATGTACACGTGCCTCTGCTCCTGTGTTTTGGATATGGGGACAGTGTCAAACACACTAAAATTGATCCTGTGTTTTATTGAAGGAGAAAAAAAAACAAACAAACATTAAAAGCAGGATCTGGAGAAGACATGCATTCAGACAGCAGATGCTTGCAGTAGTCCATCATGAAAGCGTATCTACAGAACCAAATGACACGGTAATTGTGATAATCCTCTGCTAAGCCCACTGAACGTTTCTAAAAAAATCTGCTGTTATGAATTACATTGCAAACACAGGTTCAGCATGCAGGCTTTAACAGTCTGTGCCACTGCAAGCTGCCTATGCTCCAGCAAAGGACCCAAGTCCCACTTCACAAATCATTACACTTGAAGATTTCATGTAGTCCGCTCCACCTATTCCACCCCCAAAATCACCTGATAAGCCTGAAATCTCCTTGATTTATTCCAGCTATAGGAAGAACATAACTACTTCCCTGATACAAAGTAGGAAAAAAATAATAGTATAAATCTAATCAGGGAGAAAGGAAATTAAAAAGTAATCATGCCACTGAAACCACCTTGATCAACTTACAACAACAAAAAAATGACCTTAAACAAATGTCCAAATGTCTCAGTTTTATAACAACTTTATGAAGAACAGAGTTCTTTTCACTCTCCCTGCAACATGCTGTGGTCCCAAGTCTTTTGCCCTGCAGTGCAGATACCACAAAGGCCAACAAGCTGCAGGAAAACTCTTCCAAGGACCACTGTGTGATCGTGTATTTCAGAAAGCAACATTTTCCTCTACCTGCTTTTCCTTACACTACCTCCCCTTCCATGACATGCAAAAAAAAAAGTGGGTTAAAGCAGTAGTACATAGTTAAACATTTTTACACTAGTAAACATGGGAACGATTGACATTTTTGTAAATCTTAGTATCCTTCTTACTGTTGTTCAAGCTGACAGTTCAGCAGCATGCCATTTGTGGAAAAATATAGGCCAGAAAGCTTATTTGTCAAAAAACAAAATAGGCATTTCCACATCCACCTCTTCCAGAAGGTAAATAATGTTTCTAACACATCTGATCACTGAACATTTTAAACAGGCTTTGTGACTTCTTCAATTAAATCATCAGCATATGGAGTATTGACAAGGGCTGAGTGCTTTCTACAGACACTTCTGTTCCCAGCATCCACATTCACACAGAAATACAGAAGCTGACAGGTTCACCTGTTGAAAAGGGTTAAGAACATGTATGCCTTTAAAACTCTTCCTGCCAAAAAACCAGAACGTGATACAGGATTCCATACAAATAATGGGACTTCAATTCAAAAAATCCTGCCAGATGCACGAATTCCCCACTTATCTCAATCTTTTCACTCCTCTGTACCTCCTCTAACCTGCTCCACTCAAAAAGTGGATCTGCTCCAGGAAATACTCACCAACTTTGCAGAAGGGCACTAAATTACACTGCTAATTTGTTACACAATACTACCCAAACCTCACACAATGCTGAGGTGATTGTACTTAAGGAGAGCAATGTTTCAACTGTTGCATCTTGGTCTGCTTCCCAACCAAGAAGAAATACAAAGTATAAAATAAATCAGAGTTACATACCACGCTATACTAAACACTCAGGAACTCTTTCAAAGCTGCGATGCTTTAATTGAAGAGACACGCTTTAGGCACAGACAACAATGCAATTTAAACACAAAAGCAATTGCTGACATGACCTCTGCTGAAGTTCATACTAGAAAAAAGTCAAAGTTAATCTAGGCAGAGGTGGAAAAACATTTTTATTCCTAAAGAACAAAGAAAGTTTACCCTCATTTAAAACTACCAATTGTAAAAAGAAAATTAGCTATGTTTTGTGGCACATACAGCCATGGAATGTGGGATCATCATATCTCAAATGAAGCAAACAGAACAACTTCTCCAGATGGATTGAGCTGGGTGCACAATGCTGACCACATCTTTCTTCCAAACTCATGGCTGTGGGTTATCATTATCAGTACTTCATCACCACATGCAGCATTCAAATCTAAGCATTCAATGCTAAGATCTCATCATTGCATGTTTATATTCTCTCAAACGTTCAGCTTATTGAGGGAGGTTGAAGATAACAGAGCCAACTTACAAGAGGGGAATTTCAACAATGAGCTGGATGAGGCAGCACAGCAGCTCTTCTATGAGGTCTTCACATTCTGTTCCTGAAAATGAATCATAGCAAAGGTTTTCTGGATTTTCAGATAACAAAAAAAAAAAAAAACAAACCTAGATTTAAACAGATTTAAACATAGGTTCAGATGATGAACATTTCTAATTCAGGGACGAACACTAGAAGAAATGTTAGATTTAGAACTACAGCATTTTTACATTAAATAAAAAGCATTTGGGATTCACAGTATCACAGAATGGCCAGGGTTAGAAGGGAGCTCAAGGATCACGAAGCTCCAACCCCCTGCCACATGCAGGGCCACCAACCTCCACATTTCATAGCAGCCCAGGCTGCCCAGGGCCCCATCCAACCTGGCCTTGAACACCTCCAGGGATGGACGGGGCATCCACAGCCTCTCTGGGCAGCTGTTCCAGCACCTCACCACTCTCATAGCAAAGAACTTCCCCTGACATCCAGCCTCAATCTTCCCTCCCTCAACTTGAAACCATTTCCCCTTGTCCTGCCGTTATCTACCCTTTCAAATTGTTGACTCCCCTCCTGTTTGCAGGCTCCCTTTAGGTACTGAAAGGCTGCCATGAGGTCACCCCGCAGCCTTCTTTTCTCCATGCTGAACAAGCCCAGCTCCCTCAGCCTGTCCTCGTAGGGGAGGTGCTCCAGTCCCCTGATCATCTCTGTGGCTCCTCTGGACCCTCTCCAACAGCTCCCTGTCTTTCTTGTGCTGGGGGCTCCAGACCTGGACACAGTACTGCAGATGGGGCCTCACAGGAGCAGAGCAGAGGGGGACAATCACCTCCCTGTCCCTGCTGGCCACCCCTCTGCTGATGGAGCCCAGGATGCCATTTGGTTTCTGAGCTGCAAGAGCACACTGCTGGCTCATGTTCAGCTTTTCATCTATCAGGACCCCCAGGTCCTTCTCTGCAGGGCTGGATTATCACCAGTGATGCTAGGATTTTTACGTGCAAAACAAATAGCTACTAACAATTGGAAGTTCTCACTGCTTACCTAAGCTCATATTTAATCGTGCTCTCTCAGACAATCTGACTGACTGATAATTAAGGACTTCAATGAGCCCACAGTTCAAGTCTCCTCTCAAAATCCTCTGCACTGCTTGTTTCCCCATTTTTTTTTAATAGCAAGTGAAGAATAAGCAAAGACAGAAAGAAGTTACATTTGTCTAACATGCACTGAGCAATACTTCAAAAAAGTAATCTTTTGAAGCAAAGGGATTTAACAGTGCTGAATGCCTAGGAGCAAGCAAAGCTTTTTCCTCTGCGCTGCCAAATAGGCACTGCAGCATTGCAGCACAATGAACACACAATTCTTGTTCACTTTGTGCTTTCAAATAAGTAGGTCATGCAATAAACACAGCCCTGCAGGTTATGACAGTGTTATTCTGCTTAACCCAAACTAAAAAATCTGTAACTCCAAAAACTCGATTTCAACAAACATATCAAAGTTTTTATATTCACAATAAAGCAGAAGTATTTCTTTCCACAATCAGTTTATTAAAAACACATTAACAATTGTCACCTAGTGAACTGCACATTCAAAGTGAGGTGAGTTTTTTTTTTTTTTAATAACAGAAACGTGGTTTCCTTCATATAGAATCCAAGAGCAACACAGCATAGCTCCTGTTAGCTGAAAACAAGAGCTGCTAGGAACATTTAACATCAGACAGAAACCACTGCCACAACGAAGCCCAAATAGTGTGTGCTAAAGGCACCTGAAGGTGTCACTTTTGAAAAGCTTTTTGAATCTATAAAATGCTGATAAAGCAAGACTGCTCCACATCAAAAGGGTCCTATTGTGTTTGGGTTTTTTTTTCTGTTAATGGTTGAGGAAAGCAAGAAGAAAAAGGACAGGAAAAGTAACAACAGTGCATTTTGAGAATATTGTTTATCACACAACTTATTTGAAGAGTGAGCAATGTTATTTGAATACTAAAGAGGGCTTTTCCTCACACTTTATATTTAAACTAATGCAAGAAACACAGGATTGGGACAATTACGCAGGATGGAAGATGCTTGCCTTTCCTTTCCTGCTCTGCTCTCAAAGTTTTTTTCCTAAAAACCTTAGTGGCTGTAATCAATGTCATTCCACCAGAGTAATTAATGTATCCTTTCCCCCATTGGGGCACGGGCATTCTCGCTTAATTCTTGTCTTTCCAAACAATGACACAGACGCATGCCAAATCTATAACGTGAGAGCAAGCCATAAACATGGAACACTCCGTGTTTTCATAAACAGTATCTTTTTCAACAGCAGGATAAAGACAATACACACAACGCTTACTCATGTTCACAGATCACACACTTGGATCCATGGAAAGCCTTGGGAAAGTAAGTACAGGGCGAATCCTTCCAGACAAGGTTAGAGCCACGATATGGGATCTCACATAGGTAATAAAACAGCACTGCTTCTCAAATACCAACATGCTACGTTGTCACAACCCAATCTGAGCTACAGCAGCAGGACGTGCCCAACATTAGTAACATACTGACACAGCAAGGTATAACTCCACCTTAGATGCCACCTGTTTTGCTGTCCTATTGCTCCTATAGATTGGATAGAACCTGGACACCACTAAAGCAATAAGTCAAATTACTCATGCAACGGTACTTAAAGCCTCATACATGCAGTTAATTGTACAACCCACAGACTCAAAGCATCTTTGGGTATTGTGGTTAGATCTTCAACTCCCAAGGGTTCCCAGCTTTCCCTTAGCAGTGCTAACAATGAATGCATGAACTAATGCTACCCTTCTTTTCCTGTACGCAATAACCTGCAAGTCTAGAGGGGCTCTGGTGAATGTATGGTTGTTTATTTCCCCTCCCATGTCCTCCATGCCCCTCTGCCCACAGTTGTCTGCCAAGATAAAACAAGACCACTGCGTGTCAAACAAACTGTACATTTTCAGCTGCTTTCTTTCCAAGGCAACAGGCACTTTGGGATTCCTCTACATTTGTTATAACGTACCAAATACAGTCTTTGGCAACTCCATGCTAAAAACTTCTACACTGAAAACGAATAAAGTTTATTACAGGTCAAGGAATAAGCTAAATGAATCCACAGTTTGCTTTAGAATACAATACGTAGCACATGCCAATCTCTCCCATACTTCTCAATCACAATACAGTTGAAAAACCCAAAGATATTAAGGGATATACGCAACAGAAGCCTTACCAAAAGCTAAACAATCTGAAGACTTACTCCAGCTTCAGCATGTGCCAAGCCTAATTTAGCACTGACTGATACCAGTGATTTTTAGATGAAACTTAAAGGATGTGGTTTAAGTGTCAATGAGGATTTTCCTACAACTGAAGTTGTGCAATCATCTCCAGAGCTGCATCCAACTTCTCAATTATGGGTGAAGACAAAGGGCGTACTTCCTCCAGGCATAAGGAACCACCTGAAAACTGCCAGTGGGTGAGAACTTCTGTGAAGAGTCTGAGTAAACCCTCCTGCAGCAGAGGCTCAGCCCCGTGCCACTTGTTCATTAGAACACCATGAAGGTAGGCTGCAACGTACCTTTGTACTTAACCTTTCTGCAAAGAGAAAAACTCCAGTAATCACATCTTACAGAGCTTTCTTCCAAACTTAAATACATTCCAGCAGGAAAAAGCATAAACTGAACATTTAGAAAGATTGAAAGCGAACTGTAAAAGAAAGTTTTTACAGAAAACTGTAAAAACTGGGAGGCGATTCTTCCAGGTAAGCCAGGTAAAGCACCACCTAAACAACAGCAATTATGTCAGAAGAGAAGGCATTTCTCAAAAGCCCATGGCAAGGATATTTCCGCAGACCATTACTGTCATATAAAGTTCTGCCTGAAATACCAAACACACAGCAGGTGCTGATGTTGTGACTGCACAGCGAGCAAACTGAGTGAGCTGACAATGTGGCTAGGCTCTCTGAGCTAACAGGTTCTCTGCTTATTCTCACATGATACTAGGATGGATTCACAAGCTAAAAGGAAAAAGAACGCGATGCTGATAGTTTAAACAGGGAAACAAAACAACTCCAGAGGTTTAAGCTGAATGGTTATGCTTTCCCACAAAAAACACTGATGGATGCAAACAGAAAGTATTAATAAATCTGTATAAATAAATCTGTGTAAGCTTCAGAACAAATTGTATTCTAAAGAATGAAATATATGCTGTAGAAAGCCAGACATCATTATGAAAATAAAAGAAACGTTTTTTTCTGTTTACTTTAATGAACCCTAACACGAAAGCATTCCATTACGCTCTGCAAATTATACTTCACTTTTCACATTGGTAAGTATGAAGACCACACAGTACATACTTGAAAACATTATCTGAAGGACTTGTTAGGAAGAAGAAATGCTGGCTACGTGAACACAGCATGCTATAAAACCCAGTACCTTGAAGAAGGTATTCCAACTGGAAACACAGGTCAGGAGCAGCACCGGCCTCAGCCCACAGCTGAGCAGGGACAGAGAACTGGTTTCCTGCCTTCAGTCTCCTGCCTTAGCCAGCAGACCACACACAATCCTCTTCCTAATCAAGAACATCCAGCTACCATTCAGCTCCAAGATAACTGCTAAGCACATTTGCCATCAAAGTGCATAAAATTACCACAAGTAAACATCACTGAGAATTACAGTCGAGTGCTACTAAAGATAGGATAAACATGGATCTATCCCAGTGGCAAGTCACTTTGTTTTTGTTTTTTTCTTTTCAAACACTGCACAACAAGGAACTCCCAGCATGAGGAATAAAGATTGCTGATGCCCTAACAAAAGTTGTCAGCATTTCCATCTGTTTTCCTGTGCTACACTGAAACAAGAGGTAGGCAGGCTTTTTTTTTTTTCAGTAAACAGCTCTCAACCCTCAAACAATCTGCCATGACACAGTGCAAAGAGCAGGCACCACTTGCTGCTGCACCAGTTAGCTGACCTCATTCTTGGAGATTACTCACCTCAGTTTAAATACATTAAACCATTTCAACATGCAGTACTTAATCCCTTGGCATCATAAGTTGATTTCCCCAGAGCACTGGCAGGCGCCAAGGAGTTAAAACAGATTTTCAAGAGCAGTTTTCACTATTTAGTGAGCAAGCAGCTGTCAGGCATTCTGAGTGGTGTCCTTCCTTGCTGGACTGACAGATGAGGGAAGTCCACTTTCAGAAATTTTTGGTTACTCTTTCACAATTCACTTGCACAGTATCAGCATTCTGATGCCAATCCTTTTTGGCCAAACCGTTTTTGGCTTTATGCAACACATACACAACTACAAAGTCATCAGTGTCTTAAAACAAAGCTAAAGAGACCAACGTTGTCTTGCCAGCATTATCCACCATGTATTCTGCAAAGGTGTCTTGACACAGTGCTACACAAAGCTTTGTAGCAGACAACACATGGGTTTTCTTTTTGCTGTCAACAGAATACTGAACACATTCATGCTCAGAAGACTTTCCTGGTTAGTCACTTCGGTTTGCTTTTCAAACAGATGACAGCAGGAGTGCTCTTACAACAAAGCCATTCCTTTGCTGCCATTGTTCTTGTTTAACACTTTTTCTTTTTTTTTTTTTTCCTGGGGAGGACTTTTTCCCTTTAAGACATTCTATTTAAATACACTTTGCCAATACTTTGGTAGAAGTTTTGTCCACCAGCTCAATTTTATCTTCTGCCTTTTGAGGGATCAAAAAACTGTCAATATTTCTAAAAATCATAGTAATTCTATTTCCTAGCTGTTACTGACTTATGGAATGTGAGAAGGTAAACCAAAGAGTACATTTATTTCTATAATACCCTTCTCCTGAAGTATGGCTACACTACTTCCAAGGCATAAGAACAACAATGGATCTTATGTTCCAGTGGTGTTCTACAAGGAATACTTCTCCTCTTCCTCTATCATCAGAAGAAAGAGAACCAAGTAACACGATCTACATCTCTTTCCTCCATAGAGCTTCCTGCAGATGAGAGAACAGAGGAGTGAAGTGCATGTGCAGGGCCACAAGAGGCAATCAACTTACAGAACCACAAAGGGAAGGCAACTTCTAAGCCCCAGGAAGGGAGAAAAAAATGACATTAATGCCCTGATGTCACTGAAAGCGGTGAACAGTTGAGGTAAGAAAAGTAACATCCTCCAATCTCCGCAAATACAAGGAATCCAGTCTCCTAAACAACTCCTCCAGTGTCAGTCTCACAGTAGTGGTAGAAAAGCTACACTCCATTCTCGTTTGTTCCTCCCACTGGGTTAGAGGCCATCCTGTGTATCCTAACAACGTGAACACAGCTCAAGAAGAGGGCTAGTTTGCCATGAGAACCTGTAGTGTACTAACAGTTTGTAAACAGATGTTTAATTCTAGCAAAAGACAACAGTAAACAAGTCTCTAAAAGCTCTCAGCACACTTTAAAGCCATCCTCCTTCATATGCTAGATAAAAAGGAAGATAATTTACACCTAATTATTTCAGACTTGAAAGAGGAAAGCCAGTTTTACTACTGCCTACATACTTTCAATCTCACAGGGTGTCCTGGGGGGTACGACACACATCTAACATCAGTACTGCCCAATTTCAGCAGCAGATACCTACCATATGAGCCAGGTGTTTTATCCTCGTAAGTAAAATGAAGTTGCAGTTCCTCTTCTGACATCCGACTGATGAACACTTTCAGCAAGCAGCAGATAATAAATAATGCATTGTGAGCCTGCCAAATAAAGAGGTGACTGGAAAGGAAGCAGAAACAGGAATCAGTAACACAATTTGGAAAAGTGCATTAAAAGCAATGAAAGCAATGATCACAAGATACATGACATTAACAGAAGAGTTCCTATGGCTGAAGCAAGGAAAAGCTGAAGTGCTCTAAAGCATTAACCTTCTGAATGCAGGGAGGCTACGGCTTCATTACATTTCCTTGAGTAACAACAAGTGAGCACTAGGAAGCCCATACAACAGCACAACATCAAGCTGTGTTGATGCACTGATGGATTAAATAAGCAGAAGCCATCCAGGAAGGAGTAGCATTGCTCTCCAGATATAAGCAGAGCAGCTCTGGCAGCAAGGAGGCATTAAAAAGAACATCTTCTTTCTCTCTCTGATGGGAGTCAAATATTTACCAAAGGTTACGGGGGAACAATTGCAGAAAGCTTCCTGGAAGAGCTGTATGATGCTACATTCATAACCTCTTGTTCTTTCCTGCTGCTGAACAACAGTTGCATAACACAGCTTGAAAGCAGTATCCATATATAGATGTTTCTGCTCAAACCAATCAAATCTGAAAATAATTTCTGAGGGCCTTCATAAATCAGGATTTAGCTAAAAAGTCAGGTGACTTTCAAATATCTCAAAATCAATAACTTAAGATTAAATGTCTCCTTTGAAAAATAAACATTCTCTTATCTGAACCCTTACACCTATCATTAAGTTTCCTACCACGCAATAGTCGGCCCCCCACATAAAACCACCTCAAAGAGCTTGGGGTTCTCAACTTCCAGCCTGGAAACACAGCATGCTTACTGCCCATATGGGGTCCACCCAGAGAAAATTAGGACAGCAAGCCCCCAGGAGTGCATAATTGGGAAGGCAGAAATTAACCTGAAGTCACATCATTTTCACCTACAAATGTGCTTACCTAGCAGGGAAGACAAATACTCTTTTGTTCAGATAATACATTCATCAGTTATGCTTCATACTCTCTGCTTGATAAAGCGTTAGACACTTTCCTAATTTCAAACAATGACTTAAGGGAAGTTTAACTTTGTTCAGTAACTATGTTAACTGGTAGAGCATAACTCCAAAGCCAGCAAAAAATTGAAAGTTGAAGTGTGAAAAGGTGCACCCACCTTTTCTGCCAGTACTTACTTTTGACATTCTGCTGATATTTTTAATTCTTTGGTTCTAGAAAGAAAGACTTTAATCAACGAGCCAAGGTTTCCTGTTCGAGGATTCTTCTCCACTAGATGAGGAATTGCAAAGACACAATTAAATAGCACTTGTAAGTTGAGACAATTTAGTTCAAACTGTATGTAGAATGAAAACAGACGTCAATGCCTTAAGTATTTCTGTAGAAAGTATGATACTTGTTTTCCTAAACAGTGGTTACTCTGTTTTTAAGATTTTCCACTACATGCTTTACTACTCCATGATTGTTCTCTAAAATAATTTTTGTTCTGAATTAAAAATATTCCAGTGTGAAGCTTCTATGGCTCCCTTTGCAAGGCTTGCATAGAGCTCTCTATCAGGAAGCAGGTTTCCACTACTTGCAACTTCTTTGTAATATCACTGACCACATTCATATTATTCCTTCCTTTCACCCCTGATTAATTCTCCCTCACAGATTATCTTTGAGGGCAGGAGGAAAAAGAGGTAGCAAGGACGGAGTTATTTGTTTTAAACCTTTCAATCATTTCATGTTTTACAAAAGGAAAGTTAGCTTTCTAAAGGCTTGGAATACATAAACACACTTGACACTATTCTAATCTTGCCAGTAGAACACATACAGTTACATATACAAAAGATGTGAATGTGTACATCTATGTTGCTAACATTTTTGCTCAGCCAGATGGAAACAAGATGTCAGTTTCTCACCTAAAGATTTGCAGACTGAGATGGTTGCTTCTTCCAAAAGTTTTAAGTCAGCACTGTGGGGAGGGGAAAAAACGGTTCCATTAGCAATTCAAGTTCCATTACTTGAAGAGAAAATTCATTACAAAACAGTGAAACATTGCTACAGAGCACTTCATTTTAACAACACATTAGCTAGTTTACATAGCTACTGAGCAGTAGAATATGCATTTGAAGTACAACAACCATAGAAACATATGAACTACTAAATCTTATGAACTACTAAAATCTGTGCTAAATTCTATGAACTACTAAGACAGGAAACTGATATTCAGAAATTAATTGTCAATGAGACATCACTGAAGCATTTGTTACCAGTATTACCCCTGTGGCTTTGATGCTGTCGTGCTTGGTTTGACGTCACTGAAATTAGGCATTAGCTACACTGCAAGTTTGATGCTTTCAAAATGACAAATACCACTGAAATACACTGATGTGATCCAATATATAGCCCCTTGATTCTGTACTTCTTTGGATTTCCTAATCCTGTTTTGCACCCAGACGTTGCCCCACATTTTTGCATGTTCTCAGCTTGCAATTACAGTAACACACAGTATTCACATATCATCCACATGATCTGAATAAGAGAAGGCATTAAAAAGAGTAACTTAATGGGATAGGAAGACTTCTCTGTAAGTGCTCTAGCTGACTCTCCTCTCCTATTCACCCACAATTCAGAGACCATGACAGAACTCTATGGATTTGGTCAGGCCAATTTTCATGTTCCCAGAAAGACCTCAATAGCTTCCACAGGATCTCTGGATTAGATCTGTAGCTTATTTAGGCAGACATGATTTCCAAGAGTGGCCAAAGCTGAACAGCTCCTTGGAGAAAAGAGACAAAATTTTCCTCCTCCCTACCTTAGGATGCCTGAGCATGTAAGAAATCACCTCCACAACACAGTCAAATACTAAAACTAAATATACTTTCAAGCAAAAATACTTACATACATTCTAAGTAGCCTGTATTGAAACACACACAATTCTACTGAAACATAAAAAACAACCATTTCATTCTAAGGACAATCAATTACCAGAACAGCTTGCTTTCAGTTTGTGAAGGCTTAAAACCCAACAGGGCACAGCCCTGGGCACGCTGTTCTGGCTGACCTGCTTCCAGCAAGGCATAGGGTAAGGCAAGCCCTAAAGCTCCCTCCTGCCCTCAGCAGCTCTGTAACACTACTCCTCCTTCAGCTCTCCTCTTTCCCATCTTTCATTCCCAGCCATTATAGTAATGACTTAATGACTCATCTTCCTCAATTCTTGCCAAGACATCTTCTGTATCCAAATTTTTATATAATTACCTGCTAATGTTTCTTTTCATTAATTTGCAACTGAAATCAATAATAGCCTGGACAATCTCAAAACCTGAGCGAGCCTACAGCACCCAGCATCATTCTCAATATCATTGGTTTTAAGCTGGAGTAGGACTTATGGGAGAAGACATACAGCTGACATGTCATTAAATGTAAGAAAGGAAATATCTCCAAGCAGAAATATGTTTCAGTATGAGAAACATTTATTGTAAATCATCAACCTGAAACAAAAAAAAATTTTCAGCTCTCTTTACAGGCTTTTAATTACAGTGCTTTTCACCGGAGAAGTATCTTTCCCTGTTGGAAAGGTGTAATATAGTAATACTGCAAAACTTAATACTGTCCTAATTAGATTACCAAAATTGCTGTTGCTTCCCAAGCATTAGGATTACATTTCCCAATGAGTAACCTGATTAATACAAAAACAGCTGAGACAGAAGACAAAAAGATAAGGATATTGGTAGGAACAGCAACTGATAGAATTATTTCAGAGGTTTTCAATAGGAGAGACCTCAACACAGAAACAAACATTTTGGTATGCCTGTAGCTACTCTGTGGATCAGAGTAACTTGGTGTGCAGTGAGCTGGCAGCATGCAGCTCTGCACCTACAGCTGAGCATCTTAAGACATTTTCACATTATGAAGATCGGCTTCATTAACATCAAATGCTGGCCTTTTTCCTCTTTCAAAAATTGCTTTCAAACATAAGTCTCAGAAACAGAAAACATACTCAGATCTGTGCTTTAAAACATTAAGATCAGTCTCAAAGGTGGTCTCCTGTTTCAATGCTAAAAGCATGCAGAGTAATTAAAAGCAAGTGGTACAAAACCAGAATGCCTTGTCAACAGCTTCCGACAACATTATTTGCTAGGCCCGGGGTGAGACAAAGATATATCTATTTTAAGCATCTAAATCTGTCCATCTGGCTGCTGTCACCAGGATGTGCTCCTTCTGAGCAATTACAAGCATGGTGAGCATTACCCTGGACACCAACCCACCAGAGAGCTCTCAGATACTAAATAACCAAAACCCAACTAAAACCATCCACCTCCCACCACCCGAAGAAGCTCCGTACTCCTAGAATACAAGCAGAGCGATTACTGCAGTTGCTTCAGAATTTAAACCTTAAGTGTATACTTTAATCCTAATTGCAGTTCACTTTTTCCCCTAATACTCAAGGTATTAATTCTTACAGGAATTTTTTTTTCCCCCTTCCCTCAAGCACACAATACTCAAATTTCAACAAACTGTCAGAATCAATAACCAAACCAAGCAAGACCTTCAGAATTTCAGCAACACTTTCAATATCTGAGCCATTCTTTTTGGTACCAAAACAAAAACGAGCTTTGACACCTAGAAAAACCAACCCACTCCTTCTCCTTCGCACAAGAACACAGATCTGAACTTTGCCATCCCAATTACTAGGCAACAACAACCACCCAACTCAAGGAATAGGAACACCCAGTGAGAGCATACTGCAGCAGAACACCACCCCAACACATGCACAGAGGAAAAGAAGTTGTTCTGAAATCCAGTAGAATTAATGCTGCAACTATTACACCTCCAAAGACTGATCCACAAAGGGAGATGTGGAGATGACATTCTCTTAACGAATAAGCATAGAACTGGAAGGCTAAAACTAAAACATCCCCCCTTTCTAATCCAACAGCAGCACTGGTAGCATTCAACTTTTTCAGCAAGAACAGGACTGGACTGAAGCTCAAGCAAGCACTAGCTCCCTCTGAAAACTCCACATCCAAAGAAAGGGATTGCTTTGTTAGATGCTCTTAAGATCACTGTTTGGGACAAAAACATCTAAAATGCATTTAAATCGATCCTTTTGAACACATTACACTTAACTGCAATGAGGTAACCACAGGAGGATCCCATGGAATACATGGAGGGAACAGCTTTTCAGAAAAGAAAGGCAACAACTTAGATCCAGATGAACGTGAGGTGCAGGATTACTTCCCTCACACTTGAACAAAAAGTTCTAGGCTTCACAGGAATGCCCTCTTCCTCTGTGATCTGTTGGCCAGCATTTTCGAAGTCCTTCATTAAAGCACAAATTTGCTCTCTTAAGTTGAGGGAATACTCCCAGGCTTCAACAAAACTGTCATTAAAGGTGAAATTTGCTTCCTGACTTCACAGAATTCATTAAAGAAAGTAGCTTCAACTAGCTGTATTTTAAAGGCATCGAGACTCTTGTGAAACAAAGACATGGTTTAGTGATGGGATTCTGCAGGTCAGGCTGATGGCTGGACCTGATGACCTTGAAGGTTTTTTCCATTCTAAATGATTCTGAGTCTGAAAACACAGCCTTTACACTGGCAGAGCTTACTGCTTTAAAACACCCCAGCACAGCAAGCAGCAAGAACATTTTGCATACAGACTGTCACTACAAACCCATCCAAACACAGACTGCAGGTCATTACATCTTTTCTACCCTATTGAGGAAGATAAATCCCTCAAAAACTCTATTGTTCCCTAAATGCCACCTGAAGATTTGATGCACACTTTCAAGTCAACAGCAGAAGAGTGAAGGGTTGTAGAGCTTGAAAAGGGCAGAACCCATTTGGCAGTAGATGAGAGAACAGCGCTTTTTTACTGTGTTCTCTGAGAAAGCAAGAATTCTGGTTGCAAGTGGACTGTAAACACAATGGGAAATATTGTGAGTTATGTCCTACTGTGCTTGGTTTTTTAGTTATATATGTATATATCAAACAGCAGCAATTTATTTTGATTGTTCCACTGCCCCTTTGTCTTACAAAGTAAAGAACTGTTTCACAGCTCGATTTGGAGCTTTTCATGTTTACTAACTAACAAATGCTAAAATCATGCAGTGCTACAACAAACCCAGGAAGTATTAGGTCCAATAAGAGGATTCATTTCCCTACTGCCTTCTCTGCTTGTATTTTTCCTCTTCCTCTTTCCCTACAGCCATACATAGAACAAACCAACTTCCAAAGAAGCATCCAGAGAACACGATCCTGTTCTACCTGGGGATTGTGTCAGTCTCATCTCTGCAAAAAGATGAGGAAATAAGGTCTTTTGCTCTACCTCCACAAAGACAACACAGCACTTGTGTGGCTCGCAAAAGCACTTGCAAACCATCACCTACTATAAACACACCTTACAGCAGCCCAGTGTAAAAAGTATTATTCACAAAGAGGAAAAAAAAACTTTAAATTCTGTCTTGGCAAGTGAAAACGGGTTCCTTCCCATAACTGCCAAAACCCAGCACCTCGCTGCTGTCAAACGTATGACCTCCACTCAAGCCTCATTAAAACAAACTTGATACTCCACAAGCTTTCCATCTCTAAAATGAACACTGACCTCTATTGTTCTGCTCCTGCAGGCAAGGTTATCTGATTTAGACAACGGCTGAGGATGCTGAGCAGCCAACATCATTTGACATCATTTGTCAAACCACCCTCTCAGGTAGATGCAACTTAATGGGAAATATCAGCTTCCTTTCAATTACACTGCACGAAGGAGGCCTCTAAAAATAGATCCCTCCTGGCTCCCAGGCAAGAGCACCATCTGGTGTTCAGCTAATCAAGCCTTCAACCTGCTTTTGGATAAAGTTTTTGGGTTTGTTTGGCTTTTTTTTTTTTAATATGTCTTTTTTTATTTTATTTCTAAACAAGCCGACTCTGCACTGGATCTGAGAGCATGAAATAGGCACATCAAAAGCTCCCAGTTGAGCTGTGAGACAGTTCTTTACTTTGTAAGACAAAGGGGCAGTGGAACAATCAAAATAAATTGCTGCTGTTTGATATATACATATATAACTAAAAAACCAAGCACAGTAGGACATAACTCACAATATTTCCCATTGTGTTTACAGTCCACTTGCAACCAGAATTCTTGCTTTCTCAGAGAACACAGTAAAAAAGCGCTGTTCTCTCATCTACTGCCAAATGGGTTCTGCCCTTTTCAAGCTCTACAATCCTTCACTCTTCTGCTGTTAATTGTTGGCTATTCTCTCCATGCAGAAGCCAAAATTCTTCCTCTTCCTCAACCACTACAGAAATAGAGGTTTTCACCTTAACCATTTTCCCTCCAAAGTGTCTGAACTTCAGCTTACAGGCACAGTAATACAAGCCAGGTAGATTATCTGCCAGCTTTGAAATGTCAAAGTCATTGTCAAACAGCAGAATATGGGAGGCTATTAGATGCTATGAAAATAAATGTGGCTCTTTGTCTTTCAAAAGCCACTGTGAGCAGCACTCAAAACACTGCACAGAAGTATGTCACCACATGTGAGCCAAACCTCACCAGAAACTTTATTCAATCACTAATTTGTATTAAATTCTCAGGAGCTCACGGTGTTCGTTACCTTGTGTCAGTTTTTCTCCTTCCAAAAAATATCTCATTAACACTTATTTTGACAGGAGCTCTGTGTGAACAAATCAAAGTTGAAGAATGGAATTAAAACTGGCATTAGAATCTTCAACAACTGCAGAAAAAGGGGCTTACTCAAGAAAAGCCAATTCAAAACAAACAAAATTCCAAAAAAATCAAACACATACACACACTCACATCCTCTTACAAACTCTATCGTTGATTTTTTTCTAGCAGCCAGAGGGCATGAATAGCAATTGCAGCTACAAGGAAGAAAGGAACTCAAAAAAGACAACACGGTGGTAAGAGATTTCAGAATCAGAAATAGAAGTCCAGTTTACAGGCAGGCATTTACTCCCCTGCTGTCTCAAACAGGAATAATGCACAACAACTCGTTTGCTTTTAGACTTGTCACTTTTATGGCTATGTTTCCAAGGTTTAGTTACCCAACAGACTCCATCACTGTACCTGTTTGTGGGAGCAGTGAAGCTGAAGGACAGCAGCTGATTCCAGAAGGGGTCATTCTCAGAGATGGGCTCTGCTCCTGATAACTTCTTCAAGTACTCATTGTCTGGAAGCTCACTGATGCTGCTGCTATTTGCTCCCATCTTTGTTATCTGGCAAATCACGTTCTAAACTTTCATTTCTGTAAGGAAAAAAAGAAAAGAAACACTTAAAGTCCTTGGTACAAATGAGGAATATACAATCTCACGTGACAGCCCATCCTTCCAGGATATCAGCTTTAATAATCATCTACATTTTGAGAATACATAACTGTGACTAATAAAAAAGCAGAAGTTTTCTCACCATCCCCACCATGAGGTAAAGCACTGCATTACAGGGTAAATAAAACACTCATGCCTGAGCTCGCTTAAGAAGTAAAAACGGGAGCAGTTCTATTAGAAGATGCAAGCTACCTCCTAGAAGAAACTCTTGGTTTGTTTCAACAAAGGTACAGGACCTGTTTGAAGTATCGCTTCAACTTGTTTGCCTCATCTTCACAGAGGCCTCTGCTTCCAGAAAAGACCGTCCTTGCGGCATAAAAATGAGGAAAACTAAGAACGATGATGGACGCAGCCACAATCTGCAACGTTAGCCTCCAACACAGCTGCAACCCCAACATCCTGTATTAGAGACTTAGTGCAAATCCACAGTATTCAGAAACGTCAGAAACAAAACGCTAGCATAGTCAAACAGCAGAATATGGGAGGCTGTTAGCAAATAAAGATGTGTTCTTTAGCAGGTGAAATCCTACAAAGATAGGGAAAAATGTTTAGGAAAAAAAACAAACTACACCAACAACCCATGAACCTCTTAAAAGTCTATAAAGCTTTTTGTAAATGAGACCTATCTGAATCCTCTGCAGAAGCAATTTTGTCACTGTGACCACACGCAGGAAGTGAAATATGAAGTGAAATCTGCAGAGAAGCACTGAAGGACTGTAAGATGTAATTAGTTAACGAAGGTTTCCAAACTTAGGCTGAGAGCTTACTCAGAACAGCATGAATGCATCTTACCTGAATACAAACTTTGCTACTTAAAAAGAAAAAAAACCCACAAAAGTCCCAGCATGCATTAATTCTGAGATCAAGTGAATATTAAAGCTAGAGGATCAAGTGGCAAAGAAACAAATGTGAATAATATATGATACTGGATCATCATTTGTATGTAGAAGAACTGAGGCTCAGGAACTGGGGTTCGAGTTGTACATAGACATCTTAGCCCTGCTGCCCCTGGACCACAAACATCCAGCTCCTACAGAAACCAACAACCTGGGATCAACTAAGATGATCAGAGGGCTGGAGCAGCTTCCCTATGAAGAAAGGTTGAGGGATTTGGGTTTGTTCAGCCTGGAGAAGTCTCCAGGAAGAGCTCACTGTAGCCTTCCAGTATTGAAGGGAACGTATAAACAGGAGGGGGATTGACTTTTAGGTGGCCTGATAGTGACAAAATAAGGGGGAACAGCTTTAAAGGATATTTGGGTGAGATGTTAGGTTGACATTTTTTACTCAGAGGGTGCTGAGTGCTGGCACAGGCTGCCCAGAGAGGTTGTGGACGCCCCACCTCTGGAGGCTTCAAGGCCAGACTGCATGGGGCCCTGGGCAGCCTGAGCTGATGGTTGGCAACCAGCCCACAGGCAGGGGCTAGAACCAGGCCATCTTTAAGATCCCATCCACCCCATGCTGTGCTATGATTCTAAGAAAGCTCTTGGCTCTGGCATACCCACTGAAATAACGGTGATTTGCTGCCTACTGTACCTTGTGAGCTCTCCCTCGTCCCCAGAGCCTGGCTGACCTCTTCCAAACAGAAGCAAGGCTGGACAATGGAAAACAGGATTTTTAGAATTTATCTCATCCTCTTTTACCACAGATTTTCCCCAAACTTGATTTTGTTAACAGGCACTTTTGTACAGAAAGGCTGCTCTGCAGGACCTCAGTTCCAAGCTCACCTTAGAACACAAGGCTAAGCAGACTCCTATCACATCACAGTAGGAAAGCCAAAAGGAACACACACGACAGCCCTTTCACCTCAGAGAAGTCAGTCCCAAACACACCAATAGGTTACTTAGCAAATCTACATTTTTCCCCTCCAAATACTCTAAACAAATTCATGGGTCATTAAAAAAAAAATCTAATTGCTTTTTAAGGCAGAGCACTCTAATTGTTAGCTTAAAAAAAAACCTTAGATATTTATTAGCAAGTCATTTAGTTTAATGCAATAGTATCACCATACCAAGACTCTTTTCTCCTCATGAAGCTGTGAACATCCCCAAAGACTCATAACTCACACTGTAAGGCTGTGCTCTATTACATGCAACATCTGTTTGGCCACAGAACGCAGCCCCAACATGCAGGAGCAGTTGCTTCAAACCAAACACAAGGAAGTGCCTTGCACATCAGGACCTATTTCAGCCTCAGATAGATGAGGGGAAGCACAAATCTTAAATTCACTGTCCCTTCTAAAAGACTTTGATATTAATTATTAACCATGTTTACAAGAATCTCATTTTTCCTCTTCAGGTTAAAAGCAATTCAGCAGTACGTACAGCATCTGGTCATGACTCTGCATACCAAATCTTCCTGGTAAGAGCAATACACATGCTAGAATTGGAGGTGAAATGGACTTGCAGGACAGCCATCCAATAACCTCAGGCTTCTTAGGCTGTTAACGTCCTATCATTAGTGATAGGACCAGAGGGAATGGCTTCAAGCTACATCAGGGGAGATTCAGGCTGGACATGAGGAAGTATTACTTTTCAGAAAGGGTGGTCAGGCACTGCAATGGATGCCCAGGGAGGTGGTGGAGTCACCGACCCTGGGGGTGTTCAAGGAAAGACTGGATGTTGTGTTGAGGGACGTGGTTTAGTAGGAGCTATTGGGAATAGGTGAACGGTTGGACTGGGTGATCTTTGAGGTCTTTTCCAACCTCGGTGATTCTATGATTCTATGACTCATGTGCTCCACAGCTTCTGCTGTTTTATTAAACTGCTTTGGCCAACCTTCAGCCAGAGTTCTGCAGTGTTCCCAGCCTCTCCTTTCACATACACAAACACGACAACAGCTTGCAAGCTTAACTGGGGGTAACCTGTACTGTAGAACTCCCAGCAGGCTTGTCACACCCTCTAAGCCTTCTGTTTAAATAATGTTACTGCAGTAGTTACAGTTCCACCAAGTCTCCTACTGGTCTCCCAGTGAGGGCATCCCACTAATCCACCTAGTAAAGCCAGCTTTGAGCAAAGCAGTTCCCCTTTCCACAACTAACCCTCACATGGTTGTCAGGCTGAACCTGCAGGCAGCCTGAAAATACACCTATACACACACAGAGACACAAACATCAACATACACACATTCAAATGTCTCATATAATCCTAGAATAAAACGTCCTGGAAGCAGAAGACATTACCAGAAGGTATCATTTAGCTCCAAAATTTGAAGCCTGCTACCCACACAGTACATTTAATTCTCTGATAGTCATTCATATTCCAGCAGTATTTGCAGTCCAATACTTTGTGGACTGAGTATCATACACAACACTCATCTGCAAAACTGAAGAGCAGAGATGGCACCTGCAAGTAGCAAAGTCTGAACAGACATCAGTTACACCTCAGAGATGATCTCCAACTGAAGGAAGGCATCAGGTTCAAACTTCAAAATCTGCAGACTCATCCTCACTGGGGATTTCCTAATCTCCAGGACAATCCCACTTCTCAGTGAGCAGCTTGACAGCTGATAGCAATGGACACTGAAAGCCTGAAGCAGAAGCACAGCCCTCCAGTTTGTGCCCGGGAATGTTTGTTAGATGTGTTTCATCCAGCTCTAGAGGAAGTAGAAAGTTCCAGTAAGCTTGAAGCCCCACTTTTTTGGTTGCCTTTAAGAATCCCAGCTTTCTGCTCTCAGCAATACACTTCTGCACCTCCAGGCACACTGCAAGGGAGACCATCAAAGGCAGGAGGTCACACCAGTCCCAGCTGAGCTGGGCAGGCACACACACACACTGCTCGCATCCTCACCCACCTGCACTCCTCCTCACTGAGCCCATTCCGAACTGCAGCACACATCAAGGACTGCAAAGCCTTCGTGGAGTCAGAAATGTTATTTCTGTTCATCAGTACACGACCACGCAGAACTCTGGGATGAGAAATGTTCCAAGCAAAAAGATCTGACTAAGAAATGATGTCACCTGCTTCTTCCACTGCCTGCTGCCAGATGTACCGCAAGGGTCCCCATGTCACAGTGAGCCAGGCAGCTGCTGCCAGGGGGAAACTTGTTTGTTAACACATATCCAAAGCTTCAAATGCACTGACAAAGGACTGACAGATCTCAAATTGATGCCGATGCTGCAGAACCAGAAAATGTGAATTTCAGCACATAAACTGCAGTTTCCCTTAACAGTACAACCTACTGTTTTCTGCTCACTTCTAGGGAAAGGAAAACCCAGCAAGCAGAAAGTAATCTGACAATTCAATTTACTGCTTAGTTCTCCAAAGTATTCATTATCCGAAAGCAAGAGACAGCAAAGTGACAAAGCTCCCTTCACACAGATGTTTCTGCCCCTGCCTGATGTGTCATGCACTCATCATACTGCACAGCTCAGGGAACTGTTTGGGGGAAGAATCCCTGCTAAATGAGATTAGTGATGCACAAACACTCTGCAGTGAGAACTTATGCCCTTAAGGGCAGCTGCAAAAAAAAAAAAAAAAAAAAAAAATTAAAAAAATCTTTACAACTCTTAGAATTTAACATATTTTTCTATTTTTAATCAGAAGAAGCATGAAAAAATGTTCTTATTTCAAAGCATGTTAAAAAATAATTTAAAAGCAAAAAAAAAAAAAAAAAAAAAGAGCAGAGATGCATCAGCCATACCTCAATGTCTGCCAATGAAAAACGCCATCAAACCACTGCTATCAGTGCTTCCCCTACCTGAGTTCCCCAAGGAACTGCTTCTGCTCATGTTCTTTCCCACAGTACTGACTCGTGGTTGCCTCCACAGCTTTCCTACACCTACGTGGGTGTGTTCCTTCCCCTAATTCCAGGCAGAGCTGCCCAGATACCAGTCACTCTCCATTTCTTCTCCACCCACTCCTTTTCAGACTCCAAAACATCCTCAGTTCTGATCTCAAAGAATTTAAGATTACTCATCTGAGCTGTCTGCTGTTTTCACTTGCAGACAAACACAGCATCCTTTTTGTTCCTTCTGTTCTGCAACCTGCCCTAGTGTCCATGCTGTTCTGCAGCATCAGCCTGAAGCAGGCAGCACTGCTGTGATGTGATGTGGTCCCTACAGGTCGCACTGAAGCTGAGGAGTCCTGCACAGCAGCAGAAGCAATGCATCCTGGCAGATTTGCTGCCAGCAAAGTACACCCTTACAAGGGAGCAGGTGAAAACTGAGGACAACACTTCTGCTCCAGTTCATCTTCCACGTGTGTTTTGTGTGGGAGTCAATCTCCATATTCCAAGGAGCATAAGCTGCTCCTTCCCATCCCACCTCCAGGACAGCCCTTCTGCTCACAGCTAGACAAGAGATCCCAGGAAACCTTGCTTAGGTAGAATATTTCAGAAATATTTCAGAATATTAAAAGAAACTGAATGTTTCTTTTAACACAACATTCTGGGAAAGAACTGAAAAGGAGAAAAAAAAAAAAGAAGGAAAACGTACCTTCTATAAGTGACACGGAGATGCACGGCTTATGTCATTTCTCAGTGCCATCTCAAGAACCTACAGCCCTGTATTTATAACACAGAAGCACCAGCCAGCAGGACCTGTAGCTCTTGAACAAAAAATGACACTGAATGACACGAGTATCCATTAGTAATCAGTATTCGGGGGGAAAAAGACAGAAGAAAACACAGGATATAAAGAAACGCTCACAAAGTTACATTATGGCACTGGGCAGCAAGAAGCAAATACGTTTGGACACACGATGCACACTTCTAAGGCAGCATGCCTTTCCACTACTTCTTTCAAGACCCAAAGTCAAAACTACCCTATTTCCAAGCACTAGCCCTTGTATTAGCACTCACTAATTCACATTAAGATTATTTGCCCCTGCTCTCCTCAGTCACTGTGTGTCACAGGAGGCAAACAGCAGGCAGGAACTTAGAAGGAGCTCTGCTGACAGGACACGGGCCCGACAAACACCTTTTGTTAAGGAGGTGATGAAACGTCAGGGCTTTCCTCCACCCTGTAAAGGTAAATAAGCGTTGACAGGATCTCCAGCAGCCAGAAATAAGCTTTATTACAAGAGAAAACAGCAGGCTACAGCTTTCTGAAGCACAGTTAAACAGCCTTAGGCTGCCATGATGTCTCTCCCAGTTCATCTACCTTTTATGTTTCATATAGGGTGAGTGCAAATGAAGCCACTTGGCAAGAAGTGCAATTACTATCAGGTACAGTAGGCTTCCCACTGCAGAGAACACACTTGGAAGAAACACCCATCCTCACTGACGATGGTTCTTCAGCCACCAAACAGCACTTCTTGCTTTTAATACATCCTTTGCACAAAAAGACATGTGACTTCATAACCCTGCAAGCCCAACTGTCAGTCATTGGCACACTACAAACAGCCTGGATCTTCCTTTTCATCTGATAAAACATCACTGGAAGCATCAAAGCCACCTACCTTCCATATTCACTTACGTTACATACTTTCCTAGTGAATTTAACTCAGACTGCCAAGTTCTGGGAAGAGCAGCAAGGAGCTGACAGCCGCTCCAGCCGTGTGCTGTGTGGATTCCAGCCCACGGAGAGCTCAAAGTAACGCCTTCCTCAGCTCTTTGCAATGCAAGCAGCAATGACAATTTTTAATTTAAAATCAAAGGAGCAATTTTACTGCTTTTTTACACAGAAGTTAGTAAAATTCAGAATTACACTACACAGTGGCTTTCAACATTAGACTCAATGGCCCAGGAGACTGTTTGCACCTCTCAGCATTCAAGAACTGCCCAACACAAGGGAGAGTAGTCCTGTATTTCTATAGATCACAGAACGGTTTGAGTAGAAAGGGACCCCTAAAGGCCATCAGGTCCCACTCCCTGCAGTGCACAGGGACACCCACAGCTCCAGCAGTGCTGAGCCCACCCGGCCTGACCTCAGCTGTCTGCAGGGATGGGGCAACACCAGCCTTTCTGTGCAACCTGTGCCAGGGCCTCTGGGTAAAGAATTTCTTCTTTCTATCCCATCTAAATTCCCCTTCTTTTAGTTTGAAACCATTTCCCCTCGTCCTATCACCACAGACCCTGACGAATAGTCTGCGCCCTTCTTTCCTGTTCTTCTTTCCTTCCCCTTTCAATACTGACAGGCCTATCTCAGGTCTCTGCAGAGTCTCCTCCAGGCTGAACACACACCTGTCCTCACAGGGAAGTTCTCTCCATTTGTCCTCACAGGGAAGGCGTCATACCTGCAGCACAGCACCTTACCCCTCAGCACACGCAATGAAAGAAGTCGAAGACAAGAACCGGTATCAGAGAAAGTATGCTTCACAACCTTAAAATATTTACCACTCTTACTGGACATTACCCTCCAGAAGAAACAAATACGTGGGAAATAACCAGGAAGTGGAGAAAACACTGCATAGGGTGAACTGCTCTCGCATCTCTGAACGCAGGAAGGAGAACCCTCAGCTTCCTCACGGGACCCACAGCACCGTGAAGGTTGGAAAAGATCTCCAAACCCCTCCACCACGCCCCCCGCAGCCACATCCCCGTGGTTTTTCAGCACCACCTCGGACGGTGACTTCGTCACCTCCGCGTTCCGCCGCTCTTCGGAGAAGAAATTTCCCCCCGATATCCAAACCCGCCCATTCCCTGGTGCGGGCACAGCCGCGCGGCCTGACGCTCCGCCAACAGCGTGCCCCGGAGGCTTTGACGCCGAGGGAGCCTCAGCCGAGCGCCGGGCTCCGCCTCCCGTTAGGGCCCGGGAGCGCTGAGGCCGCGCTTACCGTGCGAGGACCCGCCGCTCCAATGGCTGCAACGGACACGCACTCAGCGCGCGCCGCGGGGGCGCCACCCGCCGCCCCCCTCCTCACGCAGGCGCACACGCGCCGCTTGCCCCCTGCCTGCGGCCTTTCCACGTCGCCGGCGCTGCGGCGCTGCGCATGCGCGAGGGTGGTGCGGCCGCGCGGCACGCCGGGAAATGCAGTCCGCCGGGCGGGAGGACCGCGATGCACGCCGGGAAGTGTAGTCCGCCTGCTTCTAACTGATTTTATGTATATCGCAGCAACCGCAAGAGGGCTGCTTAGTTTTTGATGCCTATTTGATACCTGTGGTATTCGACACCTATAAAAAACCCTGTTTTTTGTTCTTAAACGCAGCTCTGTGCAGTTCTTTGCACTGCAGCACAAGACCTCCTGCACCCCTGCCCACCTTCAGGCAGCTTCTTCCTTCCACCTGCCTTTTTTAAGTCATTTTTTGCTCTTCTTGTTGTTCATTCACAATGCAACAGGATCATGAACCCAATCTTGAAAAAGAATAGAAACAGATTCGCAAAACAAGTCTCTGCCAGGGCTTTCAGTGCCTATTTTGCTTTCTGCAGTTTTTTTTGGTTAGCCCTTTCAGTAGATGCTTACACATCTAGAAACGGGGCTAGAAGCCCCACTCTGTTTCATGTTTCATCTCAAAGTATCATTTCAGTAGGAAGAACAAAACAAAACAAAACTGCACGAACAAACGAGCTCCTTCCTGCAAAATGCGAGGAGCCCAAGCACAGCTCTGGCACTTTTTCTCGTGCTCACAGCTGCTAGAAATGAATGCATTACACAGCACACCTGTGAGTGGTTACAGGAATGCATTATCTTTTATTACATGAATTGTGCCATAGAATAATAGAACCAGGTTTTCTATCACAAAAGGTAGTGCAGGGAGAAAGATATGCCTGTGAACGATACAAGGGCTTACCCTCCAAGGGTAGTGCAAAGGCTTATTAAGTAATACAAAATTCACCTTCTAATAGACTGGCTCGTTAAGGGATATTAAGCAGCATTATGTCTTACATTTTAAATTCTATGATTAAGAGGAATTTCTATGCTTGAACTCATTACAAAGATAACAGAACAACACTGGTCCAGTATCCAGCTTGAGCACTGCAGGCTGATTCACACATGCCCTGCCAAAATCTGAGCAGCGGTAGGAAGCAACACACTGCTGCAGCCGACAGCATGGAGTGAAAACTTCTCTGGCAGAAGAAACCACAGCCCAAGAATGAGCCAGGACCTCAGTGACAGTTCAAGGGGAGCAGGATGCCCCTCAGCACTACAGTGCACTGCCCTTCTACCTGCAATAATTCTTGAATGAACAAACGCATTAACCAGCTTTTCTTGCTATCATAACACACTCAAGTACTACCTACAGAACATCTCTCTATAAAAATGTACAACTGTAAGAGTTCTGAGAAAATGATAAGCAGCAAACCCACTTGCTGGAATGGCTAGTTTGGAGTTCTTTGTTTCGTTTCGTTCTGTTTTAGTCTTTTAGATAGTCTTCTGGTTTGGCAGTGGGCACAAAGCAGAAACTTTAACTTCTATACCTACTAAGCACAAAGGCATCATTTTGGGATGCATTTCAGAACCAGAACACATCTTCCCAGGAGGAGGCAGAGCTGGACACGCTGAGAACACTCTCTTTATCCTGCAGTCGGTAGTTCTATGGCCACCCTCAGTCTGCTGACTGTCTACCGGTTTTCAAAAGTTTCATTACTGCTCTAGATGTTTATTTTAAAGAAGACTAAAAACAACTGTATGAAGCAACTAATTGTTAAATAAAGTCCTGCTTTATTACAATTCAAGTTACACAAGCACGCTGAAAGAGATTTTTGTCTTTTTTTTTTTTCTGAAAGATAAGACATGTATCATTTGAAACCACTGCAACAGAATATAAAGCAGCAATTCCCTTGCATCATGTCTTTGTCGATCCTTCTCAGGAAAGAAAGGTAGAAAGTTAAAGAAAAAATGACTGAAAATATCAAATCAAGTCCTTCTATTTCTAGTAAGCTAAGTAAATTTTGCACACAGCATTACTCCTTTAGCTCATCCACAAATCTCACATGGCAGGCTCTGCTCTTCATAATTTTGACCATAATATTTATATTGCCACAATGAAATTAGTAGCTCTTTAACTACGCCAAGGTTACAGTTTTCAAGTCAAAGCCTGAAGTATTGCACTCACAGCGAGCAAAACTAAGCAGCAACACATTTAGCTAGACTTATCCACAAACTATTTAATCTAATCTCCAATCATGTCAAATAGATTATAGATTATAGATGCAAAGTGGCTCCGGCAAGGAAAACAAAGAATAACTTAATACAGCTTTCAAACATTTCATATAAGAAATTTGCTAGCTGCCATTGTAGTGGCAAAAGAGATCCTCTCCTGTAAGTGGTAAGGGGTTTTATTCAGCTGTAATGTGCAAAGAACAAAGTCTCAGTGTGAGAAATAGCAATCACCAGTTCATGTTGGACACAAGGGGAATGAAATCCGTAGGAATGAATTCCTCTAATCTGCTTTCTTGTCAGACACTTCTGCTGATCCCTTTGCAGCAATTCCGTTTGCAACCCCATTGCTTTCAAACTGCAAATAAAAGAAAACACCTTTAAAATGAGATGGTCTCATTTCTAAAACCATCTTTATATCCAGGACAGTAATATATGGTGATGAAAACTACTCTTGTAAGCACAGCCAGTGAAGACTCATGCAGAATCTGCCTAAGAACCAACATGATGGAATTTCTTTAGTGTTACACATGACTGTTTAGGGTGGAGGATGAGGGCAAAGCTCTCAAAAGCTCTGTTTTTTGCTACAAGAGATACATAAACGCAGAGTTTCAGCATTTTACCCCATTATGAGTGGCAGAGCTAGCAGAATAGTTACTTTTTATAGTCTGTTTCATGCATCAGGTACAACTGATTGATCACTTCACTTCCTGCTTTTCTGAAAGAGCAGCCTGAGTCCTGTCTTCAAGCTTTTTCAGAACACAGGTGCAATTCCTGTCCTCCCAAAACCTCCCAGAAGCTGTCTGGAAGAAACTGCTATTTCCGACCAGCTCAGTACTGGCAGCTCCCTTTCAGAAGTAAACAGCCAAAAAAGCTTCTCTCAAAACACCCAGCTTCTGTGGTGCCCACACCTGCCCTACCTAGAGATTCCCTCACTAGCTAAGCACATCACCTTACCTTGTAAGTTCCAGATTCATCCCCCTTATCTCTCTGTGAGGCTGAAGGTGGATTTCCAACACTGCCTCCTTGGCCTTGCTTGGTGGCTGTTTCTTGCACAGCTCTCTTGGACCACACACGCTTAATGAAAGGAGCAATAACGGGATAGATGTAGGGCTCAAGGAATTTCTTGTAGACCCAGAGAAGAACAGGAATGACAATACAAGGGATGCACACCATGGCTTCCTCTCCTTCTGTGACAAAGCTGAAAAGCAAGAACGTTTACAGTTTTTGTATGCCTCAAGTTAAGAAAACACAAAGTCTTAAGAAAGGGCTGCTATTCATGTTTAAAGAAAAAAGATCTCTTAAAACCAGATTTTTAAAGTTCTAAAATGTTATTCCCTAAGCTGAGAGCAGCTGTACATTCCAATGCTATAAAATCCTTAGGGACAAAAAGGGCAACACTCTTGACACTTTGGTAGTAATCTTTGTTTGTTAATTCATCATCCCCACAGCTCAAAGTCAGAAAAAATGCATTCAGAAAATCAAACAAACAAACAAACAAAAACAGGATCTGAGAAGAATATGTGCTATTTTCTTCCACCTGCACTGGACTGGGACTCACTTGATCTGCACCAATTCAATACAATTTGCCAAACTACTAGAAAATTAAGAATCCCCTGCCTCCCAAAACCTGTGATTTTGGGAGTTACTTTCAAAAACAGCAGCCCAAAGTCTGCAATGAACAAAGCAGAAAAGCAAAAACCAGAGTGCAAGGGCAGAAAGCGCAATTGGGAGAGGAACTGGTTAAGCAGAATGACAAATGTCCCTTTCCATGGTGGTAAGGTACCACTTACACTATGCTCAGCTGCATAGCACAACTCTAACCTTCACATCTCCCTTTCTTGGATGCTAACACCTGGATTCCCACATTAAAACACACAACAAAAGCTTTCCACAGTCCTTCCACGAAGCTGCATACCCTATCTTGGGACATCCAGTACTCTTTTCAAATTATCCCAACGTAGCCCCAAGCAGGCCCTGTGAAATAGCAAATCCGCTTCCAGGTGATAGCTTCCAATGACAGTTCTGCCCTCTTCCAGTGTAAGTACAGGAGCTGACTCCCTCTGAAGCCAGATGGGAATCTTACATTGCAAAAATATGCACGAGGCAACCCACCAAAGCCATCTGAATAGACTTATGCGCTCAGTGCCTGAATTCCTAGATATCAAATCTTCAGTGAAACCGTGAGGAATTATCCACCTGCTGAAGAATGACGGAAACAACAGGCTGCCTTTCCGACACCACACCAAGTGTCTGAGCAGTCACTGTGCATGCAGACAAATGATAGCACTGTCAAATGCAGAAGCAAACCACAGAAACTAAAACAACAGCCCTAAAATATTCAAACATTGTTTCAAAGTTTATTCTGTGCTTTCATGATGCCTTGTTGCCTGGCTGGCAGGCAACTGAGGGTGAAATTGTAATAGCAAGCTTACTATTCTGTCAAATATCCTTTTGTTTGTCTCTCAGCTGCCCAAATGCGAGTGAGCAGAAAGAACAACCATGACATGGCACATTTAAACGCATTTGGTCTTTGTTTCCCACTTTTAATTCCATTATTATTGAACTTTTCTCATGGAAACAAAGCAAAACAAACAAAAAATAAAGATATGCAAACAAAAGAAGTTTATCTCCAAAAAAAGGACAAGCTGGTCCTCCGCTGTGTTACTACCGGCCCTCAGGCCTAGAATCTGCCCGGTTCCGTTAAATCGCCGAGCCGCCGCCGGCTGCATTTTCCCTCAAGGCACGAGCACAACAGCCGGAGAGCCCCAACGAGCGAAGCGCAGATCCAGCAGCGCTAAAACAAACAGGTCCCACCTCCTGCACGTATTTCACCCGGCTGGAGGAACGAGGGGCCTGCAGAACAGCAGCCGCAGGGACCTCCGCCCGAGCCGGCACACGGCGCTTACCTCAGCCACCCTGCTGCAGCCGCACCGGAAGTAGCCCGCCCTCCTGCTTCCGGCGGATGCGCGTAATGGCTCCACCCAATCAGAGGCGGAGAGCCTCGTGGCCCCAACCCACGGAAGTGACGTACACTGCTAGCGTCACCAGGGGCGGGACTTCCTGCTTAGGAGCTGTGGAACGCTCCCCCGCGCCACCTCGGCGCTTGCTGCCGCCAGTGAGGAACCGCCCCAGAAGGACACGCCGAGCGCTGCAACGTTCATCGAACATCGCACAAACCCACACAAGACATTTAAAGTTTTTAACTTTATTTATGTACATCTGCTGTTTCTGATTTACTCCCGAGCCATCAGTTTTTGCTTCTTCAGCTTCTTCTGGGATATCTGAAAAACAAAGAAGGAAACGGTGGTAAGGGGTACGGTTACACATCAGCCTTCAAAACTCCGTGCTCGCCCTCATTGCCCCCTCTCTGCATCCACATTTACACGCACACACCGTGAATGCTGTAACTCCTTCAGAAGGCAGCAATAAATTCCCTGCAATATGCACACCAACGCAAGTGTTTCTAAGTTATCACTGCTGTCTTTAAATTAACATCAAGGTTGCTCAGAAATGACATTTTTTTTCATGAGTATTCCAAAGGTGTCCTAAGATAAGACATCACAGCAACCCTTCTGTCTGAACACACTGTTTCCTGGAGACATTAAGAAATGAGAAGACATTGAGTGCGTGATGCCTTTTTACCTTTTTCTTTTGAGCAACTTCTTCTTCTGGCTTGGGGACGATTTGCTCCTTCTCAGTGAGGATCATCTCGATGTGGCAGGGGGAGCTCATGTAGGGGTTGATCCTCCCGTGAGCTCTGTAGGTGCGCCGGCGCATTTTGGGAGCCTTGTTCACCTGGATGTGCTCAATCACCAGAGAATCCACATCGAGACCCTGGGGGGGATAAAATTAAAACACTGTGCCTCACTTCTCCCTGCAACAATGCAACAATCTCCGCAGCATACAAACAAGAATAACCACCCCTCTGCTGCACATTATACGGATTTCAGGTTGAGTCTTTTACCTAGCAGGGACAAACTAAAATCAGAAAAACAGAATAATCTCCTGCATGTCACAATGGAAGTACCTTCGCTGATGGCTCAGAGAAAAAGTTATTATTTCATGGTTATTCCAAAGGTGTCCTAAGATAGTCATCACTGCCATCAAAGCTGCCAAATAAAGCATTGAACACATAGCAAAAATACAAGCTGACCCGAGTCTACAGGTCTTGTTTTCTGTGGATTTTAAGAGATGAACCCCTTAGAATAAACATGCATCAGATAACTCTCCATGAACTACCTGAGAAAAACTCTCACTCACTGCAACTTAACAAAGCACAGTTCAAACAGTAAACGAAATCTTCTACGCCATGCTTTCAGCTACAGAGCAGATCCTCACTTTTTGTTTGAGCCACTGAGCTCAGGAGCACAGAGTCAGAAGAACACTTTCCAGTTAGTAACATTACCCAGCCTACCTTGAGCTCAGCATTGCTCTCTGCGTTTTTGAGCATGTGCAGCAGGAACTCCGCGCTCTTCTTGGGCCAGCGCCCCTGAGTCCAGCCCCACTGCTTGGCCTATGACAAAAAGAGCTCTGGTTTGGTTCTGGTACCTGACCCGTCCATGCCAATAACTTCCTGTTACATGACTTTTAATAAGATTGCTCAGAATACAAGTTTCTTTTCACGTTGAATCCAAAGGTGTCCTAAGAAAGTCATCACAGCAATCTCAACAGTTATCCCACTCACATTTTCACAGATTATCACCAACGACTGATCCCCTCCATGCTGTCTGAACGTCACCTTCTATCTCTACTATAAAGAAGTGTAGCCAAAGCACCCGTCCCAAACTGTCCCATCTGCATCCTCACCTGGGCACATCGACCAACTCCTCCGTTGTAGCGACGGAAGGGAACACACTGCTTCTTCAGGGTCACATCCTTCAGGTACTTGGTGGCCTTGCGGATGTGCATGCCCTTGATGGCCTGGGCAGTCTCACGAGTGTTCTAAAACACACAGTGACAGCTCCGTTTAATGCTTCTTCCCAAATTACAACAGGAGTTGTGATAGGACAAGGGAAAATGATTTCACCTTAAAGCAGATTTAGACCAGATATAAGAAAAAAGTTCTCTGCAATAAGGGCAGTGAAGCACCAGCACAGGCTGCCCAGAGGTGGTGGATGCACTGCTGTTGCAGGTGCCCGTTTGTTCACGTGGCCCTTAAGGTCCCTATCAAATCAAACCATTCCAAGATTCTGTGACTTAAAGCCACTTGTCCCTTGTCTCTCTTTCTGATCAAGCAACCATCTTTCCCTTCCACAGTTTCCTTTCTGCCATGAATTCAGTCCAATAGAAACATTCAAAGCAAACCCACAAACAAAAAAAAAAAAAAAGAAAACTATACTTTCCTTTGCTATAATTCTTAGTCTGAACTCTACTACTGAGCTTGCAGCCAATTCCATCATACCTTCCTTGTTTTTCACCCCATGGCTACAGCTTCTCAATCAGAAACATGAGTGCTTATATTTATCACAGCTCCCTTTTTGGCAACTATTCCAAAAAACAGAAGCCTGAGTAATCAATGCATGTTAAACTGTAATCAGGCTGAGGGAGCTGGGCTTGTTCAGCCTGGAGAAAAGCAAGCTGTGGGGTGACCTCATGGCAGCCTTCCAGGACCTAAAGGGAGCCTACAAACAGGAAGGGAATCAACAATTTGAAAGGGTAGGACAAGGGGAAATGGTTTGAAGTTGAGGGAGGGAAGATTGAGGTTGGATGTCAGGGGGAAGTTCTTCACTATGAGAATGGTGAGGTGCTGGAACAGCTGCCCAGAGAGGCTGTGGATGCCCTGTCCCTAAAGGTGCTCAAGGCCAGGTTGGATGGGGCCTGGGCAGCCTGGGCTGCTATGAAATGTGGAGGTTGGTGGCCCGCATGTGGCAGGGGGTTGGAGATTTGTGATCCTTGAGGTCCCTTCCAACCCTGGCCATTCTGTGGTTCTGTGTCTGATATGGAATCTCACAGAAAGCTTGAGCACAACGTATAAATACAAGCTAGAAAACCTAATGCTAATATAAATAAGGGAATTAAAAAGTGGAAAAGGGGCAAAGAAGAAAAAAGATGAAGTATCAATGCTTTAGCTGCTCTGCATTCAGTGTGCTCTTGTTAAAAAAGTCAACACCGCCTAACATTACAATGATGTGAAGTCACATCACTGTAACGCAGTCCACATCCAATGATGTGGAGCAGGCCATGACCTACATCAACCACACTAAAAAAAGGCATTTCCTTCAAAAACGAGCATTTGGTGTCATACCCACCACTGTGTGTTCACGTACCTTGAAGTGCACACGCAGGTTGGAGCCCCTGGACTTGCATGCTGTGAAGAGAAAAGGCAAAAGGGATGAGACGTACGCCCCGCTGCAGCCCTATGAGGAGGCAAGCAGAGCAGCACTCACACTTGGTGGGGTTCTCCGGATCCAGCGAGTAGCGCACCATCTTCGGAGCTCAGCTGCAGGAAAAAAAGACGACATATACCGTAATGCAGGCAGAAGGCGGACTGTGCAATTCAAGGCCGAGCCCTAACCCGAGAAGCTGCTCAGAGGTCACATTTCTTTTCATAATTCAATTCAAAGGTGTCCTAAGAGAGTCATCACCGCAGCCACGGCCCTCTGCGGCCCTCTACCGCCCAACGGGCCTCTGCGGCCCTCTGCCGCCCCACGGTCCCCCCGCCATTGCTAACCCCGCCAGTACCGAGGGCACTGAACGACCCCGCGTCCCTCCACGCATCCCCATGGCATCTCGCGGCGGGATGGGGCAGGATGGGACCGGATTGTAGCAGCACCCCTAGCCCGCCACAGCTGCTCACCTCGGAGGGAAAGCGGAAGAGGAAGGGCGAGACCGGGAGAGGGCGGGGAGTGCCTCAGCTCTCGCGAGAGTTCGGGGGAGGCGAGATTGACGGGAATGAGGGAGGGAGTAAGGAGTGGGAGGGAGCGCGGCGCTGCTTGTGTGAGGCTTGCGCGTGGAGGGTCTGTCCTTGCCTGGAGCTCCACAGCTCGGCCTGAGGCGTCAAAATAAAACGATGGAAGCTTTGTTGCCAGAGATACCCTTCGTAAATGCAAAGTGTGATTGATCCCAATGGCTGATTGAGATGGTAAAATCACAGAATGGCCAGTGTTGGAGGGGACCTCAAGGATCACGAAGCTCCAACCCCCTGCCGCATGTAGGACCACCAGCCTCCACATTTCATAGCAGCCCAGGCTGCCCAGGGCCCCATCCAGTGTGGATGAATCAACCCAGAATGGCCTGGGTTGCAAAGGAGCACAGTGCTCATCCAACTCCAACCCCCTGCTGTGTGCAGCATCACCAACCAGCAGCCCAGGCTGCCCAGAGCAACATCCAGCCTGGCCTTGAATGCCTCCAGGGATGGGGCATCCACATCCACAGCCTCCTTGGGCAACCTGTGCCAGTGCCTCACCACCCTCTGAGTGAAAAACTTCCTCTTAATATCCAACCTGAACCTCCCCTGTCCCCTATATTGAACTCCACTTGGAGGAGAGTGATGTAGCAGTGGAGAGCTTATGGGTGAGAATCAAGGGGCAGGCTGGTAAGGGTGACACTGTTGTGGGTGTACTACAGGCCCCCTGATCAGGATGAGGAGGTTGATGAGGCCTTCCATAAGCAACTGGATGTAGGGTCATGTTTCCAGGCGCTGGTGCTTATGGGGGACTTATCCAGATATTTGCTGGATGACCAACATGGCCAGGCACGCACGGTTCTTGCAGTGCATTGAAGACAACTTCCTGATGCAGGTGGTGGAGGAACCGACGCGGGGAGGGATGTTACTGAACCTTATTCTCACCAACAAGGATGGACTTGTTAAGGAAGTAAAGGTCGAGGGCAGCTTGGGTTGTAGTGATCATGAGATGGTGGAGTTCAAGATCCTGAGTGGAAGAAGCAAAGCAAAAAGTAGGATTGCTACCCTGGACTTTAGGAGAGCCAACTTCGATCTCTTCCGGGACCTACTTGGAGCTATCCCATGGGCTAGGGTGTTGGAAGGTAAGGGGGCCTGTGAGAGCTGGTCAGCATTTAAACAGCTCTTCTTCCAAGCTCAGGATCGGTGCATCCCTGTGAGCAAGAAATCAGGTAAAGGAGACAGGAGACCTGTGGACCTGTGTGGATGAGCAAGGAGCTCATGCACAAGCTCAAAGGAAACAAGAAGGTCCGTGAAATGTAGAAAAAGGGTCTGACCACTTGGGAAGAATACAGGAATGTAGTCAGGGCCTGCAGGGATGCGACAAGGAAGGCTAAAGCCCGCCTGGAATTGAATCTGGCTAAAGTGATAAGGGATAATAAAAAAGGCTTTTTTAAGTATGTTAACAGCAAAAGGAAAACTAGAGAGAATGTGCACCCCTTACTAAGTGAGGGGGGTGTTCTGGTAACGGGGGATGCTGAGAAGGCAGAGATACTGAGTGCCTTCTTTACTTCTGTCTTCAGTGAAAAGGCTCTCCCTCAGGTTTTCCATACCCTGGAGGTTAGTGAGAGGGTCTGGAGAGTGGGAGACTCCCCTTTAGTCAGGAAAGAGGTGGTGCGTGAGCGCCTAGGCAGTACTAAGGTACACAAATCCATGGGACCTGATGGGGTGCATCCACATGGGCTGAGGGAGCTGGTGGAGGTCATTGCCAAACCTCTCTCCATCATCTTTGAGAGGTCTTGGATAATGGGGGAGGTCCCTGAAGACTGGAGGATAGCCAATGTCACTGCGGTCTTCAAAAGGGCAAGAAGGAAGACCCAGGTAATTAAAGGCCTGTCAGCCTCACCTCTGGCCTGGAAAGGTGATGGAACAGCTTGTGCTGGATGTCATCTCCAGACAACAGGAAGAGAAGGGGGTTATCAGGAGTAGTCAGCATGAATTCGCCAAGGGGAGGTCATGCTTGACCAACCTGGTGGCCTTCTATGATGTTGTCGCATGCTGATTTAGAAACGCATTTGATACTGTCTCCCATGACATCCTCATAACAAAGCTGAGGAAGTGTGGGATAGACAAGTGGACAGTGAGGTGGGTTGAGAACTGGCTGACTGGAAGAGCACAGAGGGTCATCGTTGGTGGTGCAGAGTCTGGCTGGAGACCTGTAACCAGTGGTGTCCCCCAGGGGTCTGTGATGGATTTGGTCTTGTTCAACATCTTCATCAATGACCTTGATGAGGGGACAGTGGCCACCCTCAGCAAGTTTGCTGATGATAGGAAGTTGGGAGGATTGGCTGACACGCCTGAAGGCCGTGCTGCCATTCAGCGAGAGCTGGACAGGCTGGAGAGCTGGGCAGGAAGAAACTGGATGAGGTTCAACAAAAGCAAGTGTGGAGTCATACACGTAGGGAGGAAGAATTACATGCACCAGTACAGGTTGGGGGATGAGCTGCTGGAGAGGAGCTCTGCAGAGAGGGACCTGGGTGTCCTGGTGGCCGTGGTGGCCATAAGCCAGCAGTGTGGCCTTGTGGCCAAGAGGGCCAATGGCATCCTGGGGTGCATT